AAATATACAGGAGATTCCACCTGAACGGGAGATGGTGGCGGGGTATAAATAAAGTTTATTATTATTGTGTGTGTGTGTGTGCGTAATAATTTGATAGTGTATATTTTCTGTAATTGATTATGTTGTTGTTTATGTTCTGATTTTATTTTGTTGCTGTGTTGTTGGGCTTGGCCCCATGTAAGCCGCCCCGAGTCCCTGCTGGGGAGATGGTGGCGGGGTACAAATAAAGTTTATTACTATTATTATTACTATTTTTTTTATAAACATCACCATGTATTATTTATTACTATTTTAAGCATTTAAGCATTTATATCCATTTTTAAAAAACATTTCATTGAAGGTATATACAATGTGGGGGAATATTTTCAAGAGGATAGAAAAGTAGGAAATTGTAAGAAAAAAGAGGAAAAAAATAAAAATTAAGAATAAAAAAAGGTTGTTGACTTCCGCTCTTCCTTCTTCAGCTGTTCAATTCTTTTGTATTCTATTTGTTTTAATTTCTTCTCACTATAATTAAGTGTCCACAAAACAATTATTTTCCTTTGTTACTTCTATCAATCTTCCTAATTTGTTAATTTAGTTCTCAATTTTCATATAGTGTATTCCAGATTGTTCTTTTCATACCTTTCCCATTATTTTGTCGTAACCAAAAAGTAAGTTCATCCATATCTTTGATTTCTAGTATTTTATCTAGCCATTGTGTCTTTGTAGGTATATTTTCTTCTTTCCAGTTTTTAGCGAAGATTATTTTCGCAGCAGTTGAGAGATATATAAATAATAATAATTATTATTATTATTATTAGCACCTTCTTGCAGGCCCAAAGTCACCATTTCTCTCTCTCCTTCCTCGCAGTGGACTCAGCTGAAGATCCGGAAGCAGAACCTGACCCGCCTCTTTGAGAAAATGCAGGCCTACCAATATGAGCAGATCTCGGCCGACCCGGACAAGCCTTTAGCCGACGGCATCAGAGCCTTGGATACGACCGACATGGAGAGGTGCGCTCGGCTGCTTTGCCTGGCTGCAACTCTGCAGCAATTCAATCCAAAGCTGCCTCTGTTGTGTCTCCTGGACTCGGGAGCCTCTTATTGTTGTTGTTGTTGTTTTTATTATTATTGTTCTCCTCCTTCTCCTTCAGGCTGAAGGACGTCCAGTCCATGGACGAGCTGAAGGACGTCTACAACCACTTCCTGCTCTACTACGGCCGGGACATCCCCAGGATGCAGAACGCGGCCAAGGCCAGCCGCAAGAAGCAGAAGCGCCTCCGGGAAGACGGCGAGGAGGAGGAAGGTCTGCCTCGTGGAAACGTTGCCCATCCCCAGTGCCCTTATCATTCCACCCTTCTCACCTGTGCCCTTCATCATTAGGGAAAGCTCAGTCACCTTTGGCTGGTGGGTTTATGAAGGTCTATCTAATGGCCAACCCCCCTCCTCTCCCCATTACAAGAATCCCCCCTCCACAAGGCCAAAGGCAAAGAAAAGGATGCAAGTTGGACTTCCCCTTCATAGTTGTACTACAGGCCAAAAAAAAAAAAAAATCTGTTCTGGGCCTTTGTAGCCTTTTTCCCAGCCTCAAGCATCCATAATAGTGGACTATTGCAATGCGCTCTATGTGGGGCTGCCCTTGAAGATGGCCCGGAAGTTTGAACTGGTACAGCGGGCGGCAGCCAGGCTCTTTACTGGAGCAAACTATAGGGAGCATACAACACCCCTATTAAAACAGCTTCATTGACTGCCGACAAGTTGCCGAGCCAAATTCAAGGTGCAGGTCATAAAGCCCTAAACCAGTGGTTCTCAACCTTCCTAATGGCACAACCCCTTAGTACAGGTCCTCATGTTGTGGTGACCCCCAACCATAACATTATTTTCGTTGCTACTCCATAACTATAATTTTGCTACTGTTATGAATCGTAATGTAAATATCTGATATGCAGGATGTATTTTCAGTCACTGGACCAAATTTGGCACAAATACCCGATACGCCCAAAATTTGAATACTGGTGGGGTTGGGGGTGATTGATTTTGTCATTGGGTAATGCTGGAGTTGCTGGGATTTATAGTTCACCTTAAATCAATGATGGAATTGAATCAAACATGGCACACAGAATTCCCATGACCAAGAGAAAATACTGGGAAGGTCTGGTGGACACTGACCTTGAGTTTTTGGAGTTGTAGTTCACCTACATCCAGAGAACACTGTGGACTCAAGCAATGATGTGTCAGAGTTTGGCGGTGCCCAGCAGAAGAATTGCTAGATCAGCAGACACTGTGTTGTAAAATAAGGACTCTGCAGGCTTTTAGTTACAAAAGTTTTACTAAGCACATTCAAAAGACACGTCTTACTACAGCGAGCTACAATTCAGGAACTAGTCAAAACGAAAGTCTCTTCACATCTGCTTATTGTCTCTTGCTGAGACTAGTTACCCCCTTCTGTTCCCAGCGAGAGCAAGCATTATCTTACTTCTCTCAGGATTACTTAATCACAGCCTCATGGAATAAACATTCTGCGCAGCATTTCTAATACACAGTGGAATCCATCTTGGCAATACATAGAAGCACATTTAAAACACATACATAACTACATTAATCCTGACATGATGTATCTGGATCAAACTTGGTACAAATACTCAATATGCCCAAATGTGAAAACTGGTAGAGTTTGGAGAAAATAGACCTTGCCATTTGAGAGTTGTCATTGTTGGGATTTATAGTTCACCCACAATGAAATAGCATTCTGAACCCCACCAACGATAGAATTGGACCAAACTTTCCACACAGAACCCCCATGATGAACAGAAAATACTATGTTTTCTGATGGCCTTTGGTGACCCCTCTGACACCCCCTCGCGACCCCCACGGGGGTCCCGACCCTCAGGTTGAGAAACACTGCGGCCTAAACAGTTTGGCCCCTGCCTATCTCCACGATCGCATCTCCTTTTAAGAAGCGGCGTGAACTCTACGATCTTCCGGGGAGGCCCTCCTCTCGGTCCTACCTCCGTCTCAAGCGCTGTAGGTGGGGTGTTTTGTCCAATGAAGGCTTATAATAATAATAATAAAACTTTATTTGTACCCCGCTACCATCTCCCCAAGGGACTCGGTGCGGCTTACACAAGGCCAAGCCCACAGCACATCAATAAACAAAGGCAATAACGAATAGTCAATACAAAACAGTTAAAATAAACTCAAAAACAGAAAAATACACAATAAGCAATAAACAATAGCAATAACATACAGCATTTAAAACCTATGGATGGCCAAATATAATAATTAAAATTTAAAATGCTGGGCATGAACAAGGTAGGATAAATTGAGGGTGCGCAGACAATCCTAAGTCAATATTAAACTGTGTTTGAGGGCATATTGCTAAGACTTTTCCTTATTATGGGAAGGCACACTAGAACAATCACATTTTCAGGCTCCTTCTAAAGACTGCCAGCGTTGGGGCATGTCTGATGTCCTTAGGAAGTGAATTCCAGAGTCGAGGGGCCACCACTGAGAAGGCCCTCTCCCTCGTCCCCACCAATCGCGCCTGCGATGGAGGTGGGAGTGTGAGCAGGGCCTCTCCAGATGATCGAAGAGATCGTGTGGGTTCGTACACAGAAATGCGGCTTCATCCCTTGATGGGTTTCTGAGTGTCCCCTCTTTTTTCTCCAGTGGAGGGAGAGGATGCCGAAGAGGAGGAGCAGAAGGCTCCGGAGCTGAAGCAGGCCTCCCGCCGGGACATGTACACCATCTGCCAGGCCGCCGGTCTTGGTGAGCCCTCTCCTCTCCTCCCCGTCCTCCACTGCCCGCCTTCTCCCTCCGCTCCTTCTCATGGCTTTGCCTTCTTGGCTTCCAGATGGTCTGGCAAAGAAGTTTGGCCTGACGCCCGAACAGTTTGGGGAGAACCTGCGGGACAGTTACCAGCGCCACGAGACGGAGCAGTTCCCGGCCGAGCCCTTGGAGCTGGCAAAGGATTACGTCTGCAGGTGAAGAGAGCGCCACCGGGCACTTAATTCTTTCCAAGCCAAACGGATACTTGTCCCTTGGCTCACCTTTGCTCCTCCGCCCTTTGCAGCCAGTTCCCCACCCCGGAGGCCGTCCTGGAAGGAGCCTGCTACATGGTGGCCCTCCAAATCGCCCGCGAGCCCCTCGTCCGGCAAGTCTTGCGCCAGACCTTCCAGGAGCGGGCCAAGATCAACGTCTGCCCAACAAAGAAAGGCAAGAAGGTAAAGTCCAATCTTTTTAGGGCAGGCCCCAGTGTGAAGGCTGCTGCCTGTTAAGAGCCAAAGCTAGTGTCGTCCTGAGGAGTGTGAGGTAAACCTCAGTGTGAAAGAAGCGTTGTGTGAGAAGACTCCAGTGTGAAGGCTGCTGCCTGTTAAGAGTTAGTGGGCCAAAGCTAGTGTTGCCCTGAGGAGTGTGAGGTAAACCTCAGTGTGAAAGAAGCGTTCTGTGAGAAGGCGCCAGTGTGAAGGCTGCTGTGTGTGTAAAGCTACTATGTATTTGTTTATTTGTGTTATGAAAACCTTGGTTTTTTGTAAATTGTGCAACTATATTATTTTGGATTGTGAGATAAACCTCAGTGTGAAAGAAGCATTGCATGAGAAGGCTCCAGTGTGAAGGCTGCTGCCTGTTAAGAATTAGTGGGCCAAAGCTAGTGTTGTCAGGAGGAGTGTGAGGTAAACCTCTGTGTGAGAGAAGTGCTGTGTGAGAAGGCTCCAGTGTGAAGGCTGCCGCCTGTTAAGAGTTAGTGGGCCAAAGCTAGTGTCGTCCTGAGGAGTGTGAGGTAAATCTCAGTGTGAAAGAAGCGTTGTGTGAGAAGGCTCCCGTATGAAGGCATTGGTGGGCATTGACCTTGAGTTTGGGAGTTGTAGTTCACCTAAATCCAGAACTCAAACAATGATGGATCTGGACCAAATTTGACATGGATTGTCAATATGCCCAAACGTGAACACTGGTGGAGTTTGGGGGAAATAGACCTAGGCATTTGGGAGTTGTCGTTGCTGGGATTTATAGTTCACCTACAATCAGAGAGCATTCTGAACTCCACCAATGATGGAAATGAACCAGACTTGCCACCCAGAACTCCCACGGCCAAAAGAAAATACCAGAAGGGTTTGGTGGGCATTGACCTTGAGTTTGGGAGTTGTAGTTCACCTACATCCCAAACTCAAACAATTATGGATCTGGACCAAATTTGGCTGGAATACTTGACATGTCCAAATGTGAACACTGGTGGTTTGGGGGAAAATAGACCTTGACGTTTGGGGGTTGTAGTTGCTGGGATTTATAGTTCACTTCCAATCCAAGAGCATTCTGAACCTCACCAGTGATAGAATTGGGCCAAACTTCCCACACGGAACCCCCATTGACCAACAGAAAATACTGTGTTTTTTTATGGTCTTTGTTGACCCCACTGACATCTCCGACGCGGCCCCCCAAGTTGAGAAATTCTGAAAGAGATGCTCTGAAACCCCTCCATTACTTATATACAATGGAGTGATATTTCCCCTCTTTGCCGCCCATCAAAGCACACTCTCTCCCACAGATTTTCTTAACGTTTAAGGCACTGTTTCTCAACCTGGGGGTTGAGACACCTGGAGGGGTCGCGAGGGGTGTCAGAGGGGTCGCCAAAGATACAGTATGTTCTGTTGGTCATGGGGGTTCTGTGTGGGAAGTTTGACCTAAATTCTAACCTTGGTGGGGTTCAGAATGCTCTTTGATTGTAGGTGAACTATAAATCCCAGCAACTCCAACTCCCAAATGTTAAGGTCTATTTCCCCCAAACTCCACCAGTGTTCACATTTCAGCATATTGATTGTCATGCCAAATTTGGTCCAGATCCATTATTGTTTGGGTCCACAGTGCTCTCAGGATGTAGATGAACTACAGCTCCCAAACTCAAGCCCACCAAACCCTTCCACAGTATTTTCTGTTGATTGAGGGAATTCTGTGGGCCAAGTTTGGTTCAAATCATTGTTGGTGGGGCTCAGAATGCTCTTTGATTGTAGGTGAACTACAAATCCCAACAACTACAACTCCCAAATGACAAAATCAGTCCCCCACCCAACGCCACCAGTCTTCAAATTTGGGTGTATCGGGTATTTTGGCCAAATTTAGTCCAGTTGGTCCAGTGAATAAAAATACATCCTGCATTTCAGATATTTACATTATGCTTCATAACAGGAGCAAAACTACAGTTGTGAAGTTGACATGAAAATAATTTGCTGGTTGGGGGGTCACCACAACATGAGGAACTGTGTTAAGGGGTCGCGGCAGGTTGAGAACCACTGGTTTAAGGGTTCTAACGCTGTTGGCGCTTTCTCCCGACCGTAGGACATCGACGAGGCCCATTACGCCTATTCCTTCAAGTACCTGAAGAACAAGCCGGTGAAGGAGCTGCGGGATGACCAGTTCCTGAAGATCTGCTTGGCCAAAGACGAGGGCCTCCTCGCCATCGACATCTGCATCGACATGAAGGGCGTGGAAGGGTGCGTTGTTCTGACTCCTGGGTCAATATTGTTCTAGGCCGTTCTTCTGCCGCGATGGGGGTCCTCACTCTCCCCTCCTTTCCCAGCTACGGCAGTGACCAGACCTACTTTGAGGAGATCAAGCAGTTCTACTACCGGGACGAGTTCAGCCACCAGGTCCAGGAGTGGAACCGGCAGCGGACGCTGGCCATCGAACGGGCCCTGAACCAGTTCCTCTACCTGCAGATGGCCAAGGAGCTCAAGAACAAGCTGCTGGTGGAGGCCAAGGAGTTCGTCATCAAGGTGCGTGCCCGCCTTGGTCCACGACTGGGCCCAGGCCACCCTCTCTGTCCCAGGTTGGGTTGCGCTCTGACTGCGTCAGGAGGCCTCTCCCATCAACAGGGAGCCTCATCTCAAGCCGTACAGGGGTCTCTCTGAAACCCACCCCTAGGGCTCCATTTGAGATCTGCCCCTGGCCTGAGGAAGGTGGTTTTGAGTTCATTATAATATATAGCATTATATCATTGCAACTTATTATTGTTAAAATTACAATTAAGATATAATATTGTAATATGTCTTCATATATATATATATTTCTCCATCGTCGTGGTCAACTGTGAATCGCACATATGGTATTTTCTGCACCTCATATGTGCGAATTCATAGGTGACTCCTTGAGAAACTATGGTTACAGCTAAGCAATCTCTATATGTATATGTATATAATATAAGCAAGATATAATATTGTAATATGTATTCAAATGTATCAATTTAAATAATATATAATAGGTATAATTTATATAATATATCTATATATATGTATATATAAATAATATAAGCAAGATATAATACTGTAATATGTATTCAAATGTATCAATTTAAATAATATATAATAGGTATAATTTATATAATATATCTATATATATGTATGTATAAATAATATAAGCAAGATATAATACTGTAATATGTATTCAAATGTATCAATTTATATAATGTGTAATATAATTTATTCAATATATAATATGTATGCAAATTATATCAATTAAGATATAATATTGTAATATGTCTTCATATATATATTTCTCCATCGTGGTCAACTGTGAATTGCACATATGGTATTTTTTGTGCCTCATATGTGCGAATTCACAGGTGACCCCTCAGGAAACTATGGTTACAGGTAAACAACCCCTATCTATCTATCTATCTATCTATCTAAAAGCAAGATATAATATTGTAATATGTATTCAACTATATCAATTTATGTAATATATAATAATTTATATATCATATAATATATTCAATATATAATATGTATGCAAATTATATCAATTAAGATATAATATTGTAATATATATTCAAATATATATGTGTGTGTGTAAGTGTATATATATATGTATATACACACACACACACATAACAGTACTATTGTAGTTCTCAAGTCGCTCCTGACACAAAAAAAGTTATTTACTATTAATATTGTAATATGTATTCACACACACACATATATAAGCAAGATATAATATTATAATGTGTATTCAAATATATCCGTTCATATAATATATAATGGTGCTCCATGCAGTCATGCCAGCCACATGACCTTGGAGGTGTCTATGGACAATGCCGGCTCCTTGGCTTAGAACTAGAAGTGAGCACCAGAGTCCCAGAGTTGGACACGACTGGGCTTCATGTCAGGGGAAAACCTTTACCTTTTGATTTATGTAACATATATTATATATAATATGTATTCAAATTATATCAATTATGATATAATATTGTAATATGAATTCATATATATATATATGAATACATATTACAATATTATATCTTAATTGATATAATTTGAATACCTATTATATTATATAAATTATATGTTATATACATTATACATATTATATATTATATTATATTATATATTATATAAATGAAACCTCATGAAAAATGATTGGTATATATAATTCAGTCAGTCTCTCTCAAAATAGACCAATATTCCTCCTCTTTTCTCCCTTTTGGGCTTTCTCTCCTCCTCTATCAGTCTTGCAGCAGGAAGCTCTACAACTGGCTCAAGGTGGCTCCCTACCGCCCGGACCAGCAGGTCGAAGAGGACGACGACTTCATGGACGAGAACCAAGGGAAGGGCATCCGCGTGCTGGGCATTGCCTTCTCCTCGGCCAGGTAGGCCCAAGGCCACCGCTCCGGCCACCCCACCTTTCAGACCCTCTCTTGGTGCCCCTCTTCTGACTGATTTCCCCCCCCCCCCCCTCTGTTGGCAGGGACCACCCTGTCTTTTGCGCTCTGGTCAACGGGGAAGGAGAAGTGACCGACTTCCTCCGCCTGCCGCACTTCACCAAGCGCCGGAACGCCTGGCGGGAGGACGACCGGGAGAAGAAGGTGAAAACAATGGAGTTTGACCTCTGTACCCAATATTTTTCTCACCCTCTTGACCCACTGAGGGGTTTCTCCAAGCGGTTGCTGATTTACAGTGATCCTAAGGCGACCCTACCAAGAGCAGAGATTCGAACCCTGAACCCAATAGAGCATGAGGCTAAGCTGCCTCCAGATATGGGGTTTTCCTCCCAAGGGGAGATTTGCCAAGGCCTTCCCTTGAGGCTGAGAGAGTATGACTTGACCCGGATTATTTATTTGTTGTGTCAGGGCAACCAGTCAATTGTATTACATTTCTAACAGAACAAAACAAACAAACAGACAAAATACAAAGTTTGCGAGTTTGGTAGTGGATTAAATGTCCTTTGACCAGTAGCTGCCACTTGGAGTGCCTCTGGTGTTGCTGCACATTGTGCATCATGTGGCAGGGCTCAGGGTGCATTGCAGCAGGTGGTCAGTGGTTGGCTCTTCTCCGCACTCACATGTCGTGGATTCCACTTTGTGGCCCCATTTCCTAAGGTTGGCTCTGCATCTCGTGGTGCCAGAGCGCAGTCTGTTCAGCGCCTTCCAAGTCGCCCAATCTTCTGTGTGCCCAGGGGGGAGTCTCTCATTCGGTTCTGGGTTTGAGCCTGCCACTTTTGGATTCTTGCTTGCTGAGTGTCTCTGTAGATCTTAGAAAACTATTTCTTGATTTAAGTTGTTGATGTGCTGGCTGATACCCAAACAAGGGATGAGCTGGAGATGTCTCTGCCTTGGTCCTTTCACTATTGGCTGACCCTGATAATCAAACCAAAGTCTTAATCTCAAACCACTGAGAATGGTGGCCCAGGAGAGAGTGGCCCCTATTGCTTCTGGAGGGAGTCCTTCCTGCATCTTCCCCTCCTTTTGGGATTTGGGTCTCTGACGCCCATTGCTTCTGCTCCTTAGGCTCAGGATATTGAGACGCTGAAGAAGTTCCTGCTCAGCAAGAAGCCCCACGTGGTCACCATTGCCGGAGAGAACAGGTTTGTGGATCGAGCCCTTGAGATCTGTCCCTTGGGGCTGAGTTTTGAGTCCTCCCCTCGTCATTCATTCCACCGACTCCTTGGGGTTTCGAACATAACAGAGTTTTTCAGACCTTTGTATGGGCGGAAAAAGCCTCCCGCGGCTTAGAAAGGGGTCAAGCTGGACAGCCATGGCTTGCAATGTATTTCTCTCTCTTCTTCCCCTCCCTAAAGAGTGTGTTTTCTTTTCTGCTTCTGCTCTGCTTCTCCTCCCATGCTGGGATGTTTTGAAAAGGGAAAGGAGGGGGAGAGGAGCCCTTGCAAGCCAGTCGTTTCCCTATTTTCCACTGAAATATTTGTTAACCTCTCTCTCTCTCTCTATATATATATATAATTGGCTCCTACAGATATATATATAGAGGGAGAGGGAGAGAGGAATTTCCCCCTGCAATCCTTTGCCATCCCTATGTCTGTATCTCTTTATATATGTTCATTTTATATATGAATTTTCCCCTCATATGTTTACAGGTTTTTGCAAATCGTATATACATATAGATACCTAGAGATTTTCATGTACCTATATATCTCTCCTACAGATATATAGGGAGATAGGGCGGGAGATAAATAAAGTATTATTATTATTCCCCCTGCATCCCTATGTAGCTATATATATGTATATATTCTTTTTATATATGAATTTTCCTCTCACATGTTTGCAAGTCTGCAAATCCTAAATAAATATAGATATCAATAAATATATAGGTGAATCTATATATCTGTGTGTGTATGTACATGTGTGTCCATGTAAATATATATATATAAATTTGTTAGGGGCATCCAACGGAGAAACAAAACTCAAAAAAACCCCAATGAAACTTAACCAAAATTCCCATGCCCATAACACAACCCACAAGGTACAAACATATCTACTCAAAATGAAAAACAACACAACAACACACTCACAAAACGGCAAAACAACAAAACTCAAAAAAAACCCAACAAAACTTAACCAAAATTCCCATGCCCATAACACAACCCACAAGGTACAAACATATCTACTCAAAATGAAAAACAACACAACACACTCACAAAACGGCAAAAGAACAAAACTCAAAAAAAACCCAACGAAACTTAACCAAAATTCCCATGCCCATAACACAACCCACAAGGTACAAACATATCTACTCAAAATGAAAAACAACACAACAACACACTCACAAAACGGCAAAGCAAAAAAAAAAACAACGAAACTTAACCAAAATTCCCATGCCCATAACACAACCCACAAGGTACAAACGTATCTACTCAAAATGAAAAACAACACAACAACACACTCACAAAACGGCAAAACAACTGAGCATGCGCATTGGCGCCCAGCCGCAAGTTCCCTGGCGTGCGCACATGCCCTTCCGGCCAACGTTCCCTCTGCGGAAACCATGCCCACTCCAAGCCCCGCCGCGCCGCTTCCCGCACACACACACACCCCTGCCGCACATACACACACAACCCCACACTCCATCACTCCCCCCGCCGCCGCACACACACACGCAACCCCACACTCCATCACTTCCCCCACTGCCGCACGCACACACGCAACCCCACTCCCCCCGCCGCCGCACACACACACGCAACCCCACGCTCCATCACTCCCCCGCCGCCGCACGCACACACGCAACCCCACTCCCCCCACCGCCGCACACACACACACGAACCCCACGCTCCACTCCCCCTCCGCCGCAAGCACCAGCAACCCACTCCCCGCTGCGAGCACATACAGCACCCCATGCCATCACTCCCCGGCCACACACACAACGCACACACCACGCTCCATCATCCCCCGCCCAATCTTACCTCCTTTTAACTGCAGGCCAACTCCAAACCCACCGCCCTTCCCCGGCCCTGTCAAATTAGGAAAGAGGGAAGGAAGGAAAGAGGGAAGAGAAAGAGGAAAAAGAGAAAAAGGGGGAAAGGGAGGGAAGAAAGGCAAAGGAAGAAAGTGGGAGGGAATGAAGGAAAGAGAGAAGGATGAAACCAAGTAGTGAAAGAAAGAAAGAGGAAGAGAAAGAAAGGAGAGGAAGGGGGAGGAAAAGGGGGAAGGAATAGGTAGGGACCTCTCTTTCATAATAGTCCAGATATCTAGCTCAACTTTGATAAGTTTTACTATAGGCCACAGCAACGCGTGGCAGGGCACAGCTAGTGATTTTATATATGAATTTTCCCCTCACATGTTTGAAAATCTCTGCAAATCCTATATAAATATTGATAAATATATAGAGGGTACCTATATATCTTTGTGTGTGCATATATTTAGACAAATATATGTCTAGATAGATATGAATATAGATATATAGGGCTTGCAAATATTGCAGGGGAAAATGCTCACACAAATATAGATAGATATGTCTAGATAGATATGAATATAGATATATAGGGCTTGCAAATATTGCAGGGGAAAATGCTCACACAAATATAGATAGATATGTCTAGATATGAGTATAGACATATAGGGCTTGCAAATAATACAAGGGGAAATGCTCACACACATATATACAGGCATGACTAGATAGATATGAATATAGATATATAGGTCTTGCAAATATTGCAGGGGAAAATGCACACACAAATATAGATAGATATGTCTAGATAGATATGAGTATAGACATATAGGGCTTGCAAATAATACAGGGGGAAATGCTCACACACATATATACAGGCATGACTAGATAGATATGAATATAGATATATAGGGCTTGCAAATATTGCAGGGGAAAATGCTCACACAAATATAGATAGATATGTCTAGATATGAGTATAGACATATAGGGCTTGCAAATAATACAAGGGGAAATGCTCACACACATATATACAGGCATGACTAGATAGATATGAATATAGATATATAGGTCTTGCAAATATTGCAGGGGAAAATGCACACACAAATATAGATAGATATGTCTAGATAGATATGAATACAGATATATAGGGCTTGCAAATATTGCAGGGGAAAATGCTCACACAAATATAGATAGATATGTCTAGATAGATATGAGTATAGACATATAGGGCTTGCAAATAATACAGGGGGAAATGCTCACACACATATAGATAGATATGTCTAGATAGATATGAATACAGATATATAGGGCTTGCAAATATTGCAGGGGAAAATGCTCACACAAATATAGATAGATATGTCTAGATAGATATGAGTATAGACATATAGGGCTTGCAAATAATACAGGGGGAAATGCTCACACACATATATACAGGCATGACTAGATAGATATGAATATAGATATATAGGTCTTGCAAATATTGCAGGGGAAAATGCACACACAAAGATATATAGACATGTCTAGTTAGGTATGAATATATAGAGCTTGCAAATATTGCAGGAGGGAAATGCACACACGCACATATATATCGACATGTCTATATATGAAGATATAGATATCTAGGGCTTGCAAATATTGCAGGAGGGAAATGCACACACAAATATAGATGGAATTCCTGCCTGTTGGCGCTTTGTGTTTTCTTGGGGAGAAATGAGCCTGGAGGAGTCCCCTGGGTTTCTGAGAGGCCTTCCTCTTCTCCTTTCAGGGATGCCCAGATGCTGATGGAGGACGTGAAGCGCATTGCCCACGAACTGGAGCAAGGGCAGCAGCTCTCCTCCATCGGGGTGGAGCTGGTGGACAACGAGCTGGCCACCCTCTACATGAACAGCAAGAAGTCCGAGGTGGGCCCCCAACCCCCTTTAGCCCCATAAAGAATATGGTTGTTTGCCCTTGGGGTTGTTTGCCCTTGGGGGTGATATATTGGCAAATTACTTATAATTGATAATAATAATAATAATAATAATAATAATAATAATAATAATAATAACAATACATCATCACTTGTTTTTGTATGCTATAGTTTTTACGTTATTGTATTCTTATTATTAATATTCTTCTTCCTTCCTGTTTCTCTTTCAGACTGAATTCCGGGACTACCCTCCGGTCCTGCGCCAGGCCGTCTCTCTCGCCCGCCGCATCCAGGACCCCTTAATCGAGTTTGCTCAGGTCTGCAGTTCGGACGACGACATCCTCTGCCTCAAGCTCCACCCCTTGCAGGTATAAGCCCCGCCTCCCTCCTGGTTTGAAGCTCCCCCTTCTCTCTCTTGGCCTGGCCTACCTCACAACGGTGTTGTTGTTATTGTTTCCCTCCTTCCTCCTCCTCCTCCTGGGCAGGAGCACGTGGTGAAGGAGGACCTCTTGAACGCCTTGTACTGCGAGTTCATCAACCGGGTCAACGAGGTCGGGGTGGACGTCAACCGGGCCATTGCCCACCCGCACAGCCAGGCCCTCCTCCAGTATGTCTGCGGCCTGGGGCCCCGCAAGGGCACCCACCTCCTCAAGGTAGGCCCCAAGGCCGTTGGGCCCCAAGGGCAGAGCATCGAGGCTCCTGCCATTTCCCCAAACCACTTATTTATTAATTATTTATTACTTATTTCGTATACTTCTATCCCGCCCTTCTCAACCCCCGAGGGGGGACTCAGGGCGGCTTACAAAAAGGCACATCTTGGTGCCCACACAAATGCAATAACATATAAAAACAGCAATTAAATGGTCCACAATTAAAACAATTAAAACAACAATATATCACACAATCGATAGCCAATCTCAGACACAGCGTTCGCCAACTCAGAGTTCATATTTCATTCCACCTTGTCCATTCCTATCTGTCGTCACAGTCCTTTATTCATCTGCCAGATTGCCCAGATTGTCCCACATCCATGTTTTTAATTTCTTTCTGAAGGAAAGGAGGGATGTTGCTGATCTAATTTCCCCAGGGAGTGAATTCCATAGGTGAGGGGCCACCACTGAGAAGGCCCTGCTCCTCGTCCCCGCCAATCTCACTTGTGACAGAGGCGGGGCCGAGAGCAGGGCCTCCCCAGAGGATCTCGAACTCCGGGGTGGGACGTAGAGGGAGATCCGTTCGGACAGATACACTGGGCTGGAACCGTATAGGGTTTTGTAGGTCAAAACCAGCACTTTGAAATTGTGCTCGGAACTGGATCGGCAGCCAGTGGAGCTGATATAACAGGGGGTGGTATGCTCCCTGTATGACGCTCCGGTGAGCAATCTGGCTGCCTCCCGCTGGACTAATTGAAGTTTCCGAACAGTCTTCAAGGGCAACCCCACGTAGAGTGCGTTGCAGTCATCTATCTGGGATGTAACAAGAGCGTGGACCACCGTGGCCAGATCCGGCTTCCCAAGTCGACTTGTGTTGTTTTCTCTTGTAGATCTTGAAGCAGAACAACACGCGGCTGGAGAACCGCACCCAGCTGGTCACGATGTGCCACATGGGGCCCAAAGTCTTCATCAACTGCGCAGGATTCATCAAGATCGACACGGCTTCCTTGGGAGACAGGTGGGGCCAAGGCCAGGAAAGGACCAGAGTGATACCCTTTCCCCAGTTGGCGGAAATAGAGTTTGCATTGCATGGAAAGAAGGGCCTTTGGGGACTGTCACGGCCAGAATCTCCCCCCAGCAATTCCCATTTAGCAGAGAAGATGCCTCTCTTCCCAATCCCGGCAGGCCTTCGCGTTGAACCTCTGATTCTGGGTTGCCTTTCAGCACGGACTCCTACATCGAGGTGCTGGACGGGTCAAGAGTCCACCCGGAGACCTACGAATGGGCCCGCAAGATGGCGGTGGACGCCTTGGAGTACGACGAGTCCGCCGAGGACGCCAACCCGGCCGGTGCCTTGGAGGAGATCCTGGAGAACCCCGAGCGCCTCAAGGACCTGGACCTGGACGCCTTCGCGGAAGAGCTGGAGAGACAGGTCCGGCCCAGTGGAGACCCCCCCCCCCCCCCCCCGGAGCCCCTCTCCACGCCTCCCCCCCCTTGGCTCCGATCTCATGGCCGCTTCCTCCTCCTCCTCCGCTCGTAGGGCTACGGGGACAAGCACATCACGCTCTACGACATCCGGGCTGAGCTCAGCTGCCGCTACAAAGACCTGCGCAGCCTCTACCGCTCCCCCAACGCAGAAGAGGTCTTCAATATGCTGACCAAGGAGACGCCCGAGACCTTCTACATCGGTAGGCTGGAATATCACCTTTGGTGTTCTCTCTTCCTTAGGAGGCTTTTCCTTGTAGTAAAATAAAATGGCTGCACTATTTACAACAACAAGGTTTCTGTAACACAAATGAAGTCCTTTAGACTTCCTTCATTGCTTCCACACTGCGCTTCTTCCTCATTTAGATAAGCAGCTTCGCTCCCACAGAGCCTCTTCTCACACCGAACTTACACAGGAGCTTTGCACAAAGCAGCCTCCACACTGGAGCTTCATACATGAGACCTTCAGCCTGGGGCTTCTCTCACTGAAGCTTCTCACACCAGGCCTTCTCACTCTTGGTCTTCTCACAGACAAAGGCCTACCTCACACGGAGGCTTCTCTCACAGACTAAGGTCTACCACACACTGAGGCCTTCTCACACACACTAAGGTCTATCTCACACTCTGAGGCCTTCTCTCACAGATTAAGGCCTTCTCTCACAGATTAAGGCCTACCTCACACTGTGAGGCCTTCTCACAAATGAAGGCCAACCTCACACAGAGGCTTCTCTCAAAGATGAAGGCCTACCTCACACTGAGGCCTTCTCTCACAAACTAAGGCCTACCTCATACAGAGGCTTCTTTCACCGACAAGGTCTACCACACACTCTGAGGTCTTCTCTCACAGACTGAGGCCTACCTCACACTCTGAGGCCTTCTCACAAACGAAGGCCTACCTCACACTGAGGCCTTCTCTCAAAGACTGAGGCCTACCTCACACGGAGGCTTCTCTCACAGACTAAGGCCTACCTCACACTCGAAGGCCTTCTCACAGATGAAGGCCTACCTCACACATAGACTTCTCTTGCAGACTAAGGTCTACCACACACTGTAAGGCCTTCTCTCACAGACTGAGACCTTTCTCCCACTGAGGTTTACCTCAGACTGACGGCTACTAAGCTACAGGCACACCTGCTTATATAGAACTGCACCTTTTGCTGAGTTGTTGCCGCCTCACAGTGCTCAACTCACATGTTGGTAATTAAAAATCAGTAAATTTATAATATTTCTGACAGTGGCGTTGATGTTGCAACTACTGGGGTCTTGGCGGCTTCCCTTCTCAGACCTTTCCCTGTTCCTCTCTCGTTCTCCAGGGAAACTGATCATCTGCAACGTGACGGGAATTGCCCACCGGCGTCCGCAAGGAGAGAGCTACGACCAGGCCATCCGGAACGACGAGACGGGCTTATGGCAATGCCCCTTCTGCCAGCAGGACAACTTCCCCGAACTCAGCGAGGTGACGGCTGTTGCGTTGTATTATATTTCATGTATTAGCAGCTCTCCGCCGTGAATCTCCCAGCATTTACTTCCATCGTGTCCATTTTTAATTCTCACCCAAAAAACATTCTCTTCCAAAAGAGATTCTAATAGAGCGGAACCTCGACTTAAGAGCATCCCAGTTTAAGAGCATTTTGAGTTAAGAACCGTAGCTTGGCTCAGGTTTTGCTTTGACATACAAGCAGTTTTGAGTTAAGCGCTAGCGCTGTGAGAGAAGCCTCTGTGTGAGAAAAGTCAGTGAGAGAAGCCTCTGTGTGAGAGAAGTGTGTGAGAGAAGCCTCTGCGTGAGAGAAGTCTGTGAGAGAAGTCTCTGCATGAGAGAAGTCTGTGAGAGAAGCCTCTGCATGAGAGAAGTCTGTGAGAGAAGCCTCTGCGTGGGAGAAGTCCGTGAGAGAAGCCTCTGCATGAGAGAAGTCTGTGAGAGAAGCCTCTATGTGAGAAAAGTCCTTGAGAGAAGCCTGTGTGTGAAAGAAGCCTGTGTGTGAGAAGTCTGTGAGAGAAGCCTCTGTGTGTGAGAAGTCTGTGAGAGAAGCCTCTGTGTGAGACAAGTCCGCAAGAGAAGCCTCTGTGTGAGAGAAGTCTATGAGAGAATCCTCTGCGTGAGAGAAAGTTCTGTGTGAGAGAAGTCTATGAAAGCTCTGTGTGAGAGAAGTCTGTGAGAGAAGCCTGTGAGAGAAGCCTCTGTGTTCCCACCAAGCATTCCACCTTTATAACTTGAATATTATATATTTCTTGTTTTGAGGGAAATGCCAGTAATTCAGTTTCTTTTTTGATCTAGGCTCAGCTTAAGGATTTGTTATGTTCCTTGTGAACCCAATCTTTGGGTTTTCTCACCTAGATGTCTCCAGAAGTGCTTTGCCTCCCCTTGAGGCTGAGAGGGTGTGACTTCCCCAACACCAATAGGTGTGACATTTCCATGGCCTGCCTTTCACCCGCCCGTTCCTTTCTGCTTGGCTTCTTCCCTCCAGGTCTGGAACCACTTTGACAGCGGCTCCTGCCCCGGCCAGGCCATCGGGGTCAAGACCCGCCTGGACAACGGGGTTATGGGCTTCATCCCCACCAAGTTCCTTAGTGACAAAGTGGTCAAGCGGCCGGAGGAGAGGGTCAAGGTAGGGATCTCCAGTGGAATCTTCCTTTTATGAAACTAAACATGAATTTCAGAAAAAAAAACTCAGCAAAAGCAATTATTATTATTATTATTATTATTATTATTATTATTATTATTATTATTATTTATACCCCGCTTTATCTCTTCCAAAGTTCTTGACTTTGAATATGTTTTCATGGATTTTCACTGAATTTTTTGAAATGCTGTTTATATTAAATTCTGTTTTAAGGTTTGCATAGTTGTATATTTTCAGTTGTATGCTTTTATGTTAAGCCTCTTTGAGTCTCCTTCGGGAGAGATAAAGTGGGATATAAATAAACATAATAATCATCATAATAATTAATTAATTAATTGATTAATGTATTTACGACATTGATATGCCGCCCTTCTCACCCCGAAGGGGACTCAGAGCAACTTACATACAACATATTATATTATTAGCATAGTACTATATCAGTACTATATATTACTATATACCATTATATTGTAATATTATTATAGAATTATATTGTAATACTACATTTATATTACCTGTAATATAAATATATTATTATAATATATTATTATTAGTAGTAGTATTATATTGTTTCTGCTAAATTGTTTACAGAAACAATTACATTACAGAAACAATTACAAGTACCGGTGGTACTTGACACCGGTAAGAATAGCATATATGAGTAAAAATAACTCAATAAATTGTTGGAGAGGGTGTCAAGAACCAGGAACATATATACACATGTGGTGGCAATGTAAATATGTAAATAATTTTTGGGAGAAAGTATTTAGAGAAATAGAAACTATAATGAATATAAAATTAGATAAAAGTCCTAGTATAGCATTACTATCACTATATAACGATAAGCATTTGAAAAAGGAGGATAAAGAAGCGATAACAAACTTACTAACTATAGCAAGACTGCTTATAGCAAGGAATTGGAAAAAAGAAATGAATATACAAATAGAGGAGTGGTATAAAGAAGCATGGAAAATAGCAATAAACGATAAATTGACATGTATATTAAAGGTTAAAAAAGGTATATGGAAACAAAGCGATTTTGATGCTGTATGGGGAAGATTTGTGGTAAATGGATTAAAAAATAAGGAAGGAAAATTACCGTCACAAGAAGAAATGAAATTTTGGACAGATGAAATGTAAGAAGGGTGGCTTGAAATGGGTGGAGGGGAGCACTGTGGTGGGAAAAGGGGGAAAAATGAGAAAAAAAGGGGGAGAAATGTTAGAGTAAAATAATAAAATAACATGTTAAAGAGGTTGATGTACAAAATGTAATAGTATGTAATAAAGTGATAAATCAATAAAAAAGTTAAAAAAAAAAAAACAATTACATTACAAATGTTACAATATATTATTATATTGTAATGGTATTATGTATTATATTATTATATTGTAATATTATTATACCATTATATTGTAATATTATTATACCATTATATTGTAATACTACATTTATGTTACCTGTAATGTCAATATATAATTATAATATATTATTATTAGTAGTAGTAGCATTATATTAATTGTTTCTGCTAAATTGTTTACAGAAGCAATTACATTACAAGCATTACATTATATATATATATATATAGAGAGAGAGAGAGAGAGAGCATTATATTGTAATGGTATAATGTATTATACCATTATATTGTAATATTATTATACCATGGTATTGTAATATTACATTTATATTACATATAATATAAATATATAATCATAATTTATTATTAGTAGTAGTATTATATTGTTTCTGCTAAATTGTTTACGGAAACAATTACATTACAACCATTACAATATATTATTATATTGTAATGGTATAATGTGTTATACTATTATATTGTAATATTATTATACCATGATATTGTAATATTACATTTATATTACATGTAATATAAACATATAATTATAATATCATATTATTATTATTATTAGCATTATATTAATTGTTCCTGCTAAATTGTTTACAGAAGCAATTACATTAGAAACATTACATTTTTATATATATATATATATATATATATATATATATATATATATATATATAATTACTATATTATAATGGTATAATGTATTATACCATTATATTGCAATATATTATACCATTATATTGTAAGATTACATTTATATTACATTTAATATAAATATATAATTATAATATCATATTAATATTAGCATTATATTAATTGTTTCTGCTAAATTGTTTACGGAAACAATTACGTTACAAACATTATATATATTATAATATTATATATATATATATAACTAAATTATAATGGTATAATGTATACCACTATATTGCAATATATTATACAATTATATTGTAAGATTACATTTATGTTACATTTAATATAAATATATAATATTAATAATAATATATTATTATTAGCATTACATTAAATTTTCTTGCTAAATTGTTATATATATATATATATATATATATATATATATATATATATGTTATATTGTATTGTAATGGTATAATGTATTATGCCATTAGATTGTAAGATTATTATACCATTATATTGTAATATTACATTTATATTACTTGTAATATAAATATATAATTATAATATATTATTATTAGTAGTAGTAGTATTATATTAATTGTTTGAGTTTTGGGCCTACTTTTGAGGGTCCAAGGGCCTGCCTTCGGGCCAAGCCCAGCGCCCGTTTTGAGCCTGGGTCCTTCCTTGACCGCTTGGGACCCCGCTTCCTTTGCAGGTGGGGATGATGGTGCACTGCCGCATCATGAAGATCGACATTGAGAAGTTCAGCGCGGACCTGACCTGCCGGACCTCGGACCTGATGGACAAGAGCAACGAGTGGAAGCTGCCCAAGGACACGTACTATGACTTTGACGCCGAAGCCGCCGACCACAAACAGGAAGAGGAAGTCAAGAGGAAGCAGCAGCGCACCAGTGAGTCCGGCCTGGGGGTCAGCAGGCTTGGGGTGCAGCAGGCGATATGTTATGGTACTCAGAAGCCTGACCCTCTTGCCTGGTTGGCCCTCCTGCAGCGTACATCAAGCGTGTGATTGCGCACCCGTCCTTCCACAACATCAACTTCAAGCAGGCCGAGAAGATGATGGAGTCGATGGACCAGGGGGACGTCATCATCCGGCCCAGCAGCAAAGGGGAGAACCACCTGACCGTCACCTGGAAGGTCTGCGAGGGCGTCTCCCAGCACGTGGACGTCCGCGAGGAGGGCAAGGAGAACGCCTTCAGCCTGGGGGCCACCCTCTGGATCAACACCGAGGTCGGCCCGGCGGCAGGGGGAGGAGGGGTGCCCACCCGTGGGGCCATTCCCCAGGCCTGCGCCCCCCGTGTGACCCCGCCCGTCCTCTGTTTCTTCCTTCCCCAGGAGTTTGAGGACCTGGACGAGATTGTGGCCCGCTACGTCCAGCCCATGGCCTCCTTCGCAAGGGACCTCCTCAGCCACAAATACTACCAGGATTGCCAGGGCGGAGACAGGAAGGTGAGCGGAGAAGGCTAGAGCGCGGAAGGGTCTCCCAGAGGCCATCCAGTCTAACCCCTCGCCTGAATCCATGGCTCCATTGAGGCCTGGTCTCACCACTTTAGTGGCTCTTCTATAGACATCAAGTCCTCCTTCAGTTGAGATTGTATTAGCATAGTACAATATCAGTGTTATATATTTCTATATTGTACTATACCATTGCATTGTAATATTAGTAGTCATATAATACAAATATATAATTATAATATGTTATTATTACTATTATATTGCATTGCATTATGATATTATAAATATTTACATAATAATAATAATAATAATAATAATAATAATAATAATATATTTATGACATTTATATGCCGCCCATCTCACCCGAAGGGGACTCAGAGCGGCTTGCAAGGTATATATACATACAATATATTATTACCATAGTACAATATCAGTTTTAAATATTACTATATTGTTCTATACCATTATATTGTAATATTATTAGTCATATTACATGTAATATAAATATATAATTATATTATATGTATATAAAATATAGTACATAATAATGATGATAATAATAATAATAATTTATTTATTTATGACATTTGTATGCCACCCTTCTCACCCAAAGGGTACTCAGAGCGGCTTACAAATAATATAAATAATGACAACAATAATAACATAATAATTAATAATAAATCTAATTATTATTAGTAATAATATTAATTAATAACAAACAAATATAAATGATAATAATATCATAATAATTATTAATAATATTAATTAATAACAAATAAATATAAATAATGACAGCAACAATAACATAATAATAAATCATGTATTAATAATAATAATTAATAATTAATAATGGTAATAATAAATAGTCCCCTTTCCTGTTTCTTTCTCCTAGAAACTGGAGGAGCTTCTGATCAAGACCAAGAAGGAGAAGCCCACCTTCATCCCGTACTTTGTCTGCGCCTGCAGAGACCTCCCGGGCAAATTCCTTTTGGGCTACCAGCCGCGGGGCAAACCCAGGTCGGGCTTTCCATGCGTTGCAGGGTCTCCTTGACCTCAAGGGTCCCCTTTTGCCTCTCTTTTAGATGGGAGGGATTGAATGAAACCGGCGCCTTCTTTTCCCCTAGGATCGAATATGTGACAGTGACGCCGGAAGGCTTCCGCTACCGGAACCACATCTTCCCCACCGTTAATGGGCTTTTCCGGTGGTTCAAGGACCACTACCAGGACCCCGTTCCAGGTAAAGACCCTCGAAACATGGTCCGAGCCCATTCCCAGAAGGAAACGGTCTTTGTGGTGAGCTGTGAATGAGCTGTGATGCGTGCCCAGTTTACTGCCGATCCATCGTTGTTTGCGTTCACATTTTCCCATCAGGCATTCTGAGTCAAGCCAAAAAACAATCAGAGGAAGCTCGTCTGAGGGAAGGTTCTCTCGCTGCTGCTTCGGCGGCGGATGAAGAGAACTGGAGGCTGTAGCCCCTCCCACTGGCTACTTATACTTACTGGGGAAAGTGGGCGGGGCTACCACCAAAAATGTTTCATAACTTTTCCCATTGTGGTCAACTGTGAATTGCACATATGGTAATTCCTGCACCTGCGCAGAACAGCTTTCGGAACCTTCTAGAAATTCTATTAAACATTTCTGGCAGGTTCTGCACAGGAATTACCCATAGGTGCGAATTCACAGGTGACCACTCGGGAAACTACGGTTACAGGTAAGCAACCTATATGTATTTCCCCTCTTGTTTTCCCACCTTTCAGGGGTCACTCCCAGCAGCAGCAGCAGGACCCGGACTCCGGCCTCAATCAATGCCACTCCGGCCAACATCAACCTGGCGGGTGAGCTGCACGACCTCTCTGCGGCCCGTTTCCTGTGTTCTCTTTGTTTCCGCTCTCCTCACTCTTCCTCTCTCCGCAGACCTGACCCGCGCCGTCAACGCCCTCCCGCAGACCATGACCTCCCAGATGTTCAGCGCCATCGCGGCCGTGACGGGCCAAGGGCAGAACCCCAACGCCACCCCTGCGCAGTGGGCCTCCAGCCAGTATGGATACGGAGGCGGCAGCGGCGGAGGGAGCAGCGCTTACCACGTACGTAGATGGATATACGAGCAGGAAAGGGCCTTCCAGTATTGCCGAGCGGCGTTTCTTATTTATTTATTTACAGTACTTCTATTCCGCCCTTCTCAGGATGGATTACAATGCACATACACATGGCAAACATTCAATGTACAACATATATAGACAGACACAGAGGCAATTTAACATTCCAGCTTTTCCAGCTTCATGAGGGTATGCTCGATTCTGGCCACAGGGGGAGCTGTCGCTTTACCGTTCACTTGTGACACCGGGTCCTTTGCTGGAGTACTTCCTCATTCTTCTGCATGCTGCTGGAACGTTTTATGGCATTGTAAATTAGCTAAATTAGCTTCCCAGTATAAAGCGGTACCTAAATTTCCTACTTGACAGATGCAACTGTCTTTCGGGCTGCAAAGATCGACAACAAGCTACACAAATTGGTCAGAAGCTCACTCTGTCTTTCAGGCTGCATAGGTCAACAGCAAACTAGACTATTAATGGGCGGGAGCTCACTCCAACCTGGGCTGACTTTGAATTCTTGTGACACTGAGTCCTTGATGGAGTTCTTCCTCATTCTTACGCACTGTAAGACTATAGGACAGTGGTTCTCAACCTGGGGTCCCCAGATGTTTTTGGCCTACAACTCCCAGAAATCCCAGCCAGTTTAGCAGCTGTTAGGATTTCTGGGAGTTGAAGGCCAAAAACATCTGGGGACCCCAGGTTGAGAACCACTGCTGTAGGATCTATCTAGCAATATTAAATAACTACTCACAAGCCGGTTTTGCTTTGAAATGGATATATTGCTTGTATCTCCTTTCCTGCCCATCTCCCCCTCTTCTCAGTTTCCTCATTAGACCTCGTTGCTTCATAAGTTTCAATACAAGGCTTCAAAATGTCACAGAGAGAGAATTGAGTCAGCCAGGATGATTCAGTCAGGATGTCATGGAGGGAATTTGTGATGTCTTCATGCCGTCAGAAATTGACTCCTGACACGCACGCTGCTGGAAGGTTTTATGGTGTTGTAAATTAGTTAAATTAACCTCCCCGTATAAAGCGGTACCTAAATTTCCTACTGGACAGATGCAACTGTCTTTTGGGCTGCAAAGGTCGACAGCAAGCTACACAAAATTGGTCGGAAGCTCACTCCGACCCGGTCTGGCTTCGAACTCATGACCTTTCTGTCAGTAGTGATCTTATTCCAAAGATAATGGCAGTAAGCAGCCAGACCTTGAAGCTGCAAAGCCATTCAATGCTAATCAAGGTGGCCAATGGCAACAACTCCCACAGACAAGAGTTCTTTCTCCCAGCCTGGGTATTATTCCAAAGATAATGGCAGTAAGCAGCCAGACCTTGAAGCTGCAAAGCCATTCAATGCTAATCAAGGTGGCCAATTGCAACAACTCCCACAGACAAGAGTTCTTTCTCCCAGCCTGGGTATTATTCCAAAGATAATGGCAGTTAGCAACCAGACCTTGAAGCTGCAAAGCCATCCAATGCTAATCAAGCTGGCCAATTGCAACAACTCCAACAGACAAGAGTTCTTTCTCCCACCATGGATAATTATTCCAAAGTTAATGGCTGTAAGCAGCCAGACTTTGAAGCTGCAAAGCCATTGAATGCTAATCAAGGTGGCCAATTGCAACAACTCCAACAGACAAGAGTTCTTTCTCCCACCCTGGGTATTACTCCAAAGGTAATGAACGTAAGCAGCCAGACCTTGAAGCTGCAAAGCCATTTAGTGCTAATCAAGGTGGCCAATTGCAACAACTCCAACAGACAAGAGTTCTTTCTCCCAGCCTGGACATTATTCCAAAGATAATGGCAGTAAGCAGCCGGACGTTGAAGCTGCAAAGCCATTCAATGCTAATCAAGATGGCCAATGGCAACAACTCCAACAGACAAGAGTTCTTTCTCCCGCCCTGGATATTATTCCAAAGATAATGGCCATAAGCAGCCAGACTTTGAAGCTGCAAAGCCATCCAATGCTAATCAAGCTGGCCAATTGAAGCATTCACTCCTGCCTCCAACAAACAAGAGTTTATATACAGAGATGTATATAAAATCCCACTTGCCTAGTTTCCAACTGACCTCACAACCTCTGAGGATGCCTGCCATAGATGCAGGACAAACGTCAGGAGAGAATGCTTCTGGAACATGGCCATAGAGCCTGAAAAACACACATCCGCCCAGTAATTCCAGCCATGACAGCCTTCGACAATACATTAATGTGAGCCAACGTCAACATTGCAGTGTTTCAATGGGAAGGGTGGGCCTGCTTTGGGCTGGCGAGAGGATTGTTGTCGTTGTGTGCCTTCCAAGTCATTTCAGACGTAGGCCAAGCTGAAGTGGAGGGCCGGGTCAGTGGCCTTGAAGGGCTGCCTTTGGGCCGCGGGCCTTTGCTTTGGAGCTTATGGGGATCCTATTAATTTTGTAGGTTTTTTCCTAGGCCTGGAATCCTTCGGGGTCATGGGGCCGTTTCCTTTTATAGATAGATGGAGGGCAATATGGCCACCCCATGGGCCCCCCACCATAAACAGACCGGCCTCCTTGTCTTTGGACCTGAACCTAAAGCCAGGTGTCAAAGCGGAGTCCTCTGATGCCATTAAGTCACCTGGTTCCTGTTACACAGCGTTGTTGTTGTTGTTGTCTTTCTCACCTTTCCCGTAATGCCTTGGCTGCAGGCCGGCCTGTTTGTTCCCTTTCCGCCGCAAAGAATGCGGAGAAGCTTAGCGGGGGCTTAGCGGGGCAAGAATGCGCTGAGCCCACAAGAAGGAGAGGCCGCTAATCGGCCCAAAACGAAGCAGAAAGGACCCCTTTCTTGGGACTTAATCACGCTATGTAACACAACTCTGGCTCCTCGCTTATCAACGCCATTTCCACATTGGTTCCATCAGCGCTGATTGTGTTTAAGGATCATCATCATCATCATCATCATTTTAAACACAACAAGATGGTAATTTTGTCAGATCTGATTGTTTTTAAGTGCAGGCCAAGGTCTTTAGGCACTGTACCCAGTGTGCCAAACACCACTGGGACCACCTTGACTGGCTTGTGCCAGAGTCGTCGTCGTCGTCATCATCATCATTAGTAGTAGTAGTAGTAGTTGAAACACAACAAGATGGTAATTTGTCAGCTCTGATTTGTTTTTAAGTGCAAGCCAAGATCTTTAGGCATTGCACCCAGTGTGCCAATCACCACTGGTACCACCTTGACTGGCTTATGTCAGAGTCTTTGCAGTTCAATCTTTAAATCATACTGTTTCAGCTTTTCTATTATTATTATTATGCTTTTTCTCTCAACGCGCTTACAGTAAAACCAATATAATTTTGTCAGCGCCGATTGTGTTTAAGTGCAGGCCAAGGTCTTGAGGCACTGCACCCAGTGTGCCGATCACCACTGGTACCACCTTGACTGGCTTATGTCAGAGTCTTTGCAGTTCAATCTTTAAATCATACTGTTTCAGCTTTTCTATTATTATTATTATGCTTTTTCTCTCAACGCGCTTACAGTAAAACCAATATAATTTTGTCAGCGCCGATTGTGTTTAAGTGCAGGCCAAGGTCTTGAGGCACTGCGCCCAGTGTGCCAATCACCACTGGGACCACCTTGACTGGCTTGTGGTAGAGTCATTATTATTATTATTATTATTATTATTATTATTATTATTATTATTTGAAACACAGCAAGATGGTAATTTTGTCAGCATTGATTGTTTTTTAAGGGCAGGCCAAGGTCTTGAGGCACTACACCCAGTGTGCCAACCACCACTGAGACCACCTTGACTAGCTTGCGTCTGAGTCTTTGTTGTTGTTATTATTATTATTAGACACACAACAAGATGGAATTTTTTTCAGTGCTGATTGTTTTTAAGTTCAGGCCAAGGCCTTGAGGCAATGCACCCAGTGTGCCCATCACCACTGGGACCACCTTGACTGGCTTGTGCCAGAGTCTTTATATTATTATTATTATTATTATTATTATTATTATTATTATTATTATTAGAAACACAGCAAGATGGTAATTTTGTCAGTACTCACTGTGCCAATCTCCACTGGGACCACCTAGACTGGCTTGTGTCAGAGTCTTTATTATTGTTGTTGTTGTTGTTGTTATTATTTGAAACACAGCAAGATGGTAATTTTGTCAACACTGATTGTGTTTAAGTGCAGGCCAAGGTCTTGAGGCAATGCACCCAAGTGTGCCCTTCACCACTGGGACCAGCTTGACTGGCTTGTGCCATAGTCTTCATTATTATTATTATTATTATTATTATTATTATTATTATTATTATTATTATTAATTGAAACACAACAAGATGGTAATATTGTCAGTGCTGATTGTTTTTAAGTGCAGACCAAGATTGTTTTTAAGTGCAGGCCAAGGTCTTTAGGCACTGCGCCCAGTGGGCCGATCACCACTGGGACTACCTTGACTGGCTTGTGCCAAACTCTTTATTACTATTACTATTATTGTTGTTATTATTATTATTATTATTATTATTAGATACACAACAAGATGGTAATATTGTCACTGCTGATTGTTTTTAAGGCACTGCACTCGGTGTGCCAATCACCACTGGGACCACCTTGACTAGCTTGTGTCTTGAGTCTTTTTTATTATTATTATTATTATTATTATTATTATTATTATTATTATTATTATAAACACAACAAGATGGTAATTTTGTCAGCACTGATTGTTTTTAAGTGCACGCGAAGGTCTTGAGGCAATGCACCCAGTGTGCTGATCACCACTGGGACCACCTTGACTAGCTTGTGTCTGAGTCCTTATTATTATTATTATTATTATTATTATTATTATTATTATTACTATTATTGTCAGTGCCAATTGTTTTTAAGTGCAAGCCAAAGTCTTGAGGCACTGCATCCAGTGTGCCCATCACCACTGGGACCACCTTGTTATGATTATTATGATTATGATTATTAGAAACACAGCAAGATGCTAATTTTGTCAGCACTGAGTGTTTTTAAGTGCAGGCCAAGGTCTTGAGGCAGTGCACCCAGTGTGCCCATCACCACTGGGACTCCCTTGACTGGCTTGTGTCAGAATCTTTGCAGAGTCGTTGTTGTTGTTATGGCAGAGATGTCCTCCCAGTTTACCCAGATCCCCCCAGTTTGCAGTCTCCATAGCCATGCTGGAAGGAAGCGGATGGAAAATGGATGCGTTGTTGAATTTTGGAATGTCCAGTCAGGTGATTCTGATGGTTCCAGATCCCAGTGTGTGTGTGTCTCTTTCTCCCTCCAATTCCAGGTCTTCACGACGCCCGCCCAGCAGCCGGTGGCCACCCCGCTGCTGACGCCCAGCTATTCGTACACGACGCCCAGCCAGCCCATCACCACCCCGCAGTACCACCAGCTCCAGGCCAGCACCACCCCCCAGTCCACCCAGTCCCAGCCCTCCTCCAGCTCCGGACAGCAGCAGCCGCCGCCACAGCTGCCGCCGCAACAGAGGCAGCCCCAGCCCAAGTGAGTACCCAGCGCAGGGACTGAATACATTCCGCGTGGGAAGAGATTCCACCAAAACATTGGGAAGAACTTCTGGACTGGGTTGTTGTAAGTTTTCTCCAGAAGCATGCTCTCCTGACATTTCGCCCACATCTCTGGCAGGCATTCCCCAGAGCTTGTGAAGTCGGTTGGACACTGGAAAAATTGGGTTTATATCTCTTTCTCCCACCCTGGACATTCCACAGATACATAAACCCAACCTCTGAGGACGCTTGCTAGAGATGTGGGTGAAACGTCAGGAGAGAATGCTTCCAGACCATGGCCAGACGGCCCGGAAAACTTACAACAAACCAGTGATTCTGATCGTGAAAGCCTTTGACATGAGAGGGAAGAGATTCCACCAAAACATTGGGAAGAACTTCTCGACTGGGTTGTTGTAAGTTTTCTCCAGAAGCATTCTCTCCTGACATTTCGCCCACATCTCTGGCAGGCATCCCCAGAGTTTGTGAAGTCAGTTGGACACTAGGAAAATTAGGTTTATATCTCTTTCTCCCACCCTGGACATTCCACAGATACATAAACCCAACCTCTGGGGACGCCTGCCAGAGATGTGGGTGAAACGTCAGGAGAGAATGCTTCCGGAACATGGCCAGACGGCCCAGAAAACTTACAACAAACCAGTGATTCTGATCGTGAAAGCCTTTGACACGAGAGCTATTAGCAGTGTAATATGGAGTCCGTTGGAGTCTCCCTCTGGAGTCTTTGAAGCAGAGGCTGGGTGGCCATCTGTTGGGAGGGCTCTGATCGTGCCTTGCTGCATGAATGGGGCTGGGCTGGATGGTCTTTGAGGGTCCCTTCCCTTCAGATCTTGATCCCTCATCCTGTCTCCTCTCAGCCTTCTCTTCTGCAGGCTAAGCATGCCCCGCTCTTTAAGCCGCTCCTCATAGGGTTTGTTCTCCAGGCCCTTGGTCTTTGGAGCCTCCCTCTTTCTCTGGACACATTCCAGTTTCTCAGCATCTCTGTTAAGTTGTGCCCAGAACTTGACATCGTGCGGCCTGACCTTATTTATTTATTTATTTATTTACTACAATGTTTTATTATTATAAATCATTGATTTTTATATTTTTTGAAAACTTTTATTATTATAAATCATTGATTTTTATATTTTTAAAACGGTTTTATTATTATAAACCATTAATTTTTATATTTTTAAACTGTATTATTAGAAATCATTGATTTTTATATATTTTTAAACTGTATTATTATAAATCATTGATTTTATATATTTTAAAACTGTATTATTATTATTATTATTATTATTATTATTATAAATAATTGTTTTTTTACATATTTTTAAACTGTATTATTAGAAATCATTGATTTATATATATTTTAACTGTTTTATTATTAGAAATCATTGATTTTTATATATTTTTTAAATGATGATTATTATAAATAATTGTTTTTACATATTTTTAAACTGTATTATTATAAATCATTGATTTGTACATATTTTAAAACTTTTATTAGTATAAATTATTGATTTTATATCTTTTTAACTGTTTTGTTATTATAAATTATTGATTTTATATATTTTTAACTGTTTTGTTATTATAAATTATTGATTTTATATATTTTTAACTGTTTTGTTATTATAAATCATTGATTTTATATATTTTTAAATTGTTTTATTATGAATTTTATTATGTGATTTAATCTGTTTTAAATGATGTATTTATTAGGCTTGGGCCATGCATGGTTCTAAATGGTTCTAAAGTACTTACAAAACTAAAGTTCTGGTGGTGAAAATTCCAGAACTCTAACAAAACTTTCAAAATTTCATTATTATTTCATTATTGGTGATTTTTATGACTGAACCAATTAGGAACTGCCATTTATAATGAAATTTTGAGAGTTTTGTTAGAGTTCTGAAATTTTCACCACCAGAACTTTAGTTTCGTAAGTACTTTAGAACCATTTAGAACCATGCATGGCCCAAGCCTAGTATTTATGTGTGTTCATTTGCATTGTTGAGGCATTCCATTTTCATTCACACTACTGAGTTTATCTGGTTACAATGAGGTTCCAAAAGCTTGCTCGAAGAGCCATGTTTTCACTCTTTTTTCACTCTCAAGAGGGAGGAGGCCAGTCTAAAATCCCCAGGAAGGGAGTTCCGCAGCCCAGGGGCCACCACTGAGAAGGCCCTGTGAGGCAGGTGGGACCGAGAGCGGGGCCTCCCCAGATGATCTTAAATTCCCGGAAGGTTCATAAGAGGAGACACGTTGGGATAGGTAATTTGGGCCAGGATTATTTGGCTCACCTTTTTGGCCCCTTTCTTTCTTTCTTTCTTTCTTCCTTTGCCCAGGTCCAGCTCCTCCAGCTCACACACGGCCATCGACTGGGGCAAGATGGCCGAGCAGTGGCTCCAGGAGAAGGAGGCCGAGCGGCGGAAGCAGAAGCAGCAGCGCCTGACCCCGAGGCCCTCCCCGAGCCCCATGATCGAGAGCACCCCCATGTCCATGGCCGGGGACGCCACCCCGCTCCTGGACGAGATGGACCGGTAGTCCTCCCCACCGACCCCCCACCAACCAGCAAGCAAGCAAGCAAGCCTCCTCCCTCTTTCTCTGCCAACTGTTGCTTTTGTTTCCCCCCCACCCTCGAACTGAACCGAGAATGGGACACTGGCCGGGGGGGGGGGGCAGGGCGGGGGGGAGCCTATCGGGTTTGTGGCGGCCATTCGTTTTGGAGCGGACGACATTGGCAGGAGGGGGAAGCGGAGGACTTTTCCGCGAGCGTGATTGTGTCTCTTCTCTCCGTTCCTCTCGCTCTTTTGCTCGGCGTTGTATGTACACCAGGCTTCTCTTTTTCTTTTTGGCGCGAGGAGAGGAAGGGGAACGCTGCTGCTGCGGCCGCCACCACCACCGCCAGGACAATATTTATTCACTTGCTGTTCCCTTCCTTGGAAAGCAAGGACGAAGGAAGAAGACGAGGAGGAGGAGGAAAGGGCGGCGGTGTGGCGGTGGCGGCTGGACTCCAGGACGACGAGCAGAATACCAAGTAGGCCCTGATCCCCTCCTCCTTGGCCCCGACTGTAACCGCCAACCAGGGAATAAATAGTGTTTCTATTGAATCCCACATGCGGGTCTCCTCCTTTGAGCCGGGCCCCAAAAAAGAAGGGGGGCGTTTGGCCATCCCACTCACTTCGGGGCCAGTGGGGAGGAAGCGCTCCAAACTACCGTGGATACCCGAGTAGAAGCCGAGGCACCCTCATTCGACCACAAAACACCGGGAAATGCAGCAGTAAACCAAAATAAAAATAGATATCATAAAAATAATAATAATAATAATAATAATAACCACCCCAGGAAATGAAGCAGTAAACCAAAATAAAAATAGATATAATAATAATAATAATAATAATAATAATAATAATAATAATAACCACCCCAGGAAATGAAGCAGTAAACCAAAATAAAAATAGATATAATAATAATAATAATAATAATAATAATAATAATAATAATAATAACCACCCCAGGAAATGAAGCAGTAAACCAAAATAAAAATAGATATAATAATAATAATAATAATAATAATAATAATAATAATAATAATAACCACCCCAGGAAATGAAGCAGTAAACCAAAATAAAAATAGATATAATAATAATAATAATAATAATAATAATAATAATAATAATAACCACCCCAGGAAATGAAGCAGTAAACCAAAATAAAAATAGATATAATAATAATAATAATAATAATAATAATAATAATAATAATAATAACCACCCCAGGAAATGAAGCAGTAAACCAAAATAAAAATAGATATAATAATAATAATAATAATAATAATAATAATAATAATAATAATAACCACCCCAGGAAATGAAGCAGTAAACCAAAATAAAAATAGATATAATAATAATAAAAACCCAAGAAAGGCAGCAGTAAATAAAAATAAAATTAAATGTCATTTATAAAAATAAAATAATAATAAAAACAACCGGGAAATGCAACAGTAAATAAAAATTAAATTAAATATTAAAAAATAAAATAATAATAAAAACAACCAGGAAATGCAGCAGTAAATAAAAATAAAAATAGATATAATAATAATAATAATAATAATAATAATAATAATAATAATAAAACAGCCAGGAAATGCAGCAGTAAACAAAAATACAAATAGATATAATAATAATAATAATAACCCAGGAAATGCAGCAGTAAATAAAAATAAAAATAGATATCATAATGATAATATTAATAATAATAATAATAACCCAGGAAATGCAGCAGTAAATAAAAATAAAAATAGATATCATAATGATAATATTATTAATAATAATAATAACCCAGGAAATGCAGCAGTAAATAAAAATAAAATAAAATTTCATTAAAAAATACAAATAAAAATAATAAAAAAATTGGGAAATGCAGCAGTAAATAAAAATAAAAGTATCATAAAAAAATTATAATAAAAACAACTGAGAAATGCGACAGGAAACAAAAATAAAAATAGTTATAATAAAAAATATAAATAAAAAAAATAACAACTGGGAAATGCAGCAGTAAATAAAAATAGATATCATAAAAATAATTTTTAAAAAACAACCAGGAAATGCAGCAGTAAATAAAATATATATATAATAAAAAATAAAATAATAATAATTAAAAAACAACCAGAAAATGCAGCAGTAAATAAAAATAAATATAATTAAATAATAATAATTAAAACAACCAGGAAATGCAGCAGTAAACAAAAAATAAAAATAAATATCATAAAAAATAAAATAAAAGAATAAAAATAACCGGGAAATGCAGCAGTAAATATAAAATAAACATAGATATCATAAAAAATATAAATAAATAAATAGATATAAAAATAATAAAAACAATTGGGAAGTGCAGCAGTAAACAAAAATAAAAATTGATACCATAAAAAAAACCAGATACCAATACAATTACATTACTTGGGGCATCTGGAGGTTCCGTGTTTATGGCTCAGGCCTGAGCATTTCTGCTTTATTCGGATTTTAAGAACGGCTGGTATTCAAAAAAATATTGAAGTGAGTCTCCACTTGAAAGGCTTGTTGCTATTCTAGCTTATGGTTCTGTTTTTAATTATTCAGTTGCGTATTATTCAGTTTTTGCACTTTAGAGCCCTCGGTGGCGCAGTGGGTTAAAGATACGGAATGATGGGAGTTGTAGTTCCACAAGGTCTTTCTCCTGCCATGTCTTAACTGCAGCTCCCATGATTCCGTAGCTTTGAGACATGGCAGTTAGTGATGCCAAACTCCATTCATTCTACAGTGTGGGTGTGCCTGAGTTGGAAATAATTTGGACTCTATCTCCCATTATCCCCAACATCAAGGATGCCCATCTTCCTAAGTTTCCTTCAATGGGATTAAACTTGAATTTGGGGAAGAACAAATTTGCCCCCAAAACACCTGGAACGGTCTCGTTATTAATCTATATCTGAATGTTAGGAAGAACTTCCTGACTGAGAGCTGTTCAGCAGTGGAACTCTCTGCCTCGGAGAGTGGTGGAGGCTCCTTCTTTGGAGCCTTTGAAACAGAGGCTGGATGGCCATCTGTTGGGGTTGCTTTGAATGGGATTTTCCTGCTTCCTGGTAGAGGGTTGGACTGGATGGCTCATGAGGTCTCTTCCAACTCTAGATAAATACAACTAACAATATTCTGGGTGGTCAAAAGTTGGGTATTTTGCACCCCTTGAATGCCCCTTCCCCATTCTTCCTGAGGATGGATGTTTTCCCCGCTTGGCCATTTGGGCCCCTCGCTTTCCTCGCCCTTGAAAGGTGTCGTTGGCAAACGATCCGGCGTCTTTGGCAACCCGAAAAAAGGAATCGACGCGTCCACGGGCAGACAACACTTCCTTGGAGTTGGAGCGGGACAAGTCGCATGGATCGTTGCCATTTGGGTCAGGAGACCAGAATATCTTGGGTCGGGAAATGTGTTTTCTCAAGCCTTCCTGGCAAACGAGTCTTGGGCTCGAGAGGAGAGGGTCACCCAGGGAAAGTCGGGGATTGTGGAATGGACGTGGCCGGAAAGTGACCCAAACGGTTGAGGCCAAGCGAAGCAGATCACGCCGAGATGGGCGTTCCAGAGACAGGATATTTATTTTGTCAACAACAGAAGTGTTATCTCTGGAGGAAAGATGGTGGGGACGACTTTAGGGACAACGAGGGCCAAATAGGGAAACCGGGATCCCTTCCCAATAGGAATTACGTCCTCGTGTTAGAGTGTTCCCTCACAACTTCGCGGGTCGCTTTTTGCGGACTCGCTGTTTCGTGGGTTTTTGCCTCATAAAGAAAGAGAGGAGATACAAAGCAGTATGTAAACAACGGCTTTATAGCCTCTTCCTATACATATATAACGTCCCTACTGCGTGGATTTTCACTTTCCCATCGTGGTCAACTGTGAATCGCACATATGGTAGTTTCTGCGCCTGAGCAGACAGTTTTGGAACCTTCTAGAACAGCGGTTCTCAACCTGGGGGTCGCAACCCCCAAGGGGGTCGCCTGGCCATTTCGGAGGGGTCGTGAGGCCAGGTAAGGGAGCAGGCCAGGCGAGGGCTCATTCGCCTGCCGCACACTCACCATTCGGCGAGGGTGAGAGGCAGGTGAGGGGATCTCGGCATGAGGCCTAGCTTTGCACCAAGCCCCCTTGTCCGCCTCCCGCTTTTGCCATTTGGCGGGAGGCGGATGAGGGGATCTCGATGCGAGGCTTAACTTGGCGCCAAGCCCTCCGCCTCCCGCTTTTGCCATTCCTCGAGGGCGAGAGGCGGGCGAGGGGATCTCGGTGTGAGGCCTAGCTTCACGCCAAGCCCCCTCGCCCGCCTCCTGCTTTCGCCATTTGGCGAGGGCGAGAGGCGGGCGAGGGGATCTCGGCGGGAGGCCTAGCTTTGCGCCAAGCTCCCTCGCCCACCTCCCGCTTTCGCCACTCGGCGAGGGCGAGAGGCGGGCGAGGGGATCTCGGCGGGAGGCCTAGCTTTGCGCCAAGCCCCCTCGCCCACCTCCCGCTTTCTCCATTCAGCAAGGGCGAGAGGCGGGTGAGGGGATCTTGGCGGGAGGCCTAGCTTCGCGCCAAGCCCCCTCGCCCGCCTTGCGCTTTCGGCAGCGTCGGGACCCCTGAGCCGGTCGCGAGATCATCTGTTGACCATGGGGCTTCTGTGTGGTAAGTTTGGCTCAATTTTATCATTGGTGGGGTTCAGAATGCTCTTTGATTGTAGGTGAACTATAAATCACAGCAACTACAACTCCCAAATGACAAAATTTCCCCCCTCCCCCAACCCCAGCAGTATTCAACTTTGGGCCTATCGGGCATTTGTGCCAAATCTGGTTCAATGAATGAAAATACAACCTGCAGATCAGATATTGACATTATGATTCATAACAGGAGCAACATTACAATTATGAAGTAGCAATGAAAATAATTTTATGGTTGGGGGTCACCTCAACATGAGGAACTGTATTTAGGGTTCACGGCATTAGAAAGGTTGAGAACCACTGTTCTAGGACGTAACACCTGCGAGAAGTGAGGGAACACTGTAAACAACTTTTGAAATATGGACACAAGAAGTCCTAGGAGCCAAATAGATGCCGTGGGTTGCCCAACCCTGACTTAGCGTCACCTTCAACTTCCATCTCTCCCCGCTCGGTAGGGAAAATGTTGTCGGAGGGGGTATTAACCTGTCCGAACACACAAACCAGAGGCGGTGGGGTGTTGTTTTGGGAAACGGTTGGACACAATAAGCTTTGTTCGTTTATTATTCCTCTACCCCCATGTTGGATCCCCCTCGCAGTCTCAGCTTGACGCCGGCCTCTTTTCCTTCTTCCCCGGACGCCTTCGCCCTTTCCTCTTCTTCCGAAACGGACCCACGGTCGAGGAAACCGTCGGGACGGGATCTGGCACGATCACCTCTTCGCCCGGGTCGTCGCCGAGGATCGCGTTGAACAGGTCCTCCTCGCCATTCAATGCCTCGCCTTGGAAGCCGATCTTCCCGGGTTCGGGCGCCACTAGCTCCTTGGCCGGATCTCTGAGGAGAACAACCGGCACGTTCTGCAGTGTCTTCTTCTCCTCCTCCTCCTTTTTCATTCCTTTCCGCTTCTTGCCTTTCTGCTTCTTGCCTTTGCCTCTGCGGTGCTTCTTCTCCGGACGATTAAGCTGAACGGGAGCTGGGAGTTCGTCTGGTCGATTCTTACGAACGGTCGTATCAGTGACCACCACTGGTTGATTCTTCTCGAATCCGTTCGGCGTCACGGGAGGATCGGGGATCACAATCGTCTCGTCTGGTCGAACGGGAGCATCGGTAACCACCCCGAGGCGCTCGTCTGGTTGTTTCTTACTAAACCCGTTGGGCCACACTGGTTGATTCTTCTCAAATCCGTTTGGCCTAACGGGAGGATCGGGGATCACAATCGTCTCGTCTGGTCGAACGGGAGCATCGGTAACCACACTGAGGCGCTCGTCTAGTTGTTTCTTACTAAACTCGCTGGGCCGAACAGGAAAATCGGTGACCCCGACGGTCTTACGAGAGTCGCCAGGCTGAACAGCAGGATTGGTGATCGCCTTGATGTGCCTGTCCGGTTGCTTTTTACCAAAACGTCTCGGCTTAATGGGAGAATCTGGACGATCCTTACGTGGTCTCCCTGGCTTAATCGCAGGACCAGGGATCACCACGTCAGACTTGTTTGGTTGATTCTTCCCGAATCCGCTGGGCTGAACAGGCTGATTGGTGATCACAACAGGCTTCTCCGGTCGATTCTTATGAGAGTCACCTCGCCGGACAGAAGGTTCGGTGACCTCCACAACAGGCACGTCTGGTTGATGTCGAGGAGTTGCTGACCTTGGCAACGGGGTCGTGGTCATCGAGGGGCGGTTGATGGACGGCCCATCAATGACCTCCCCGCCGTATTCGTACAGTGCCTGTTCCTGGACCACCGCGACGGCCACCGTGCTGTAATTTCTGCACCTTTGGGAAGTAAAGGAGAATTATGTGGTTGAGAGGGATGCCTACCCACAGAAAAGTGAATTTCAGTCTCATTCTTACAGACATCATTACCGATACACCTTTTCAACCATTGTTGAACCCGTATGACCCGTTGTATTGTCATCTTTGCCGTAACCTAGAGTGATTTTTCTGTTAATTCTGTGTACAAAACTGAATAGAAGTCAGTCGTGCTGTTCTCTTGCCTTGTGGTTGTGCTCATAATAAGGTGAACAGGCAATCCTCAAGTTACAAACATCCGACCGACAAACAACAACTAGTTACGAACGAGGTTGAGACAACAGGAAGTGGGAGAAATCTACCCCTGGGAAGGAAGCTCAACCCACTCCTGGAAGAGTTATTATCATGAGGAAAAGGGGTCTCTGTGGGGTGAGTGGGCTTATTAATGAAAGACCCTCCTCATAAATGCACAGAAGAGTAACTTAGCAGCAGCAGCGTGACCCTGCACCGGTCGCCCAAAGTGATTAAAAGAACACAAACACACAGACCGATGTTATTGTCTCTTCTTTTGGAGGTTTTTCTTTGTAGTAAAATAATATGATTGCACTATTTACCACAACAAGGCTTCCACAACACAAATAAGCAAATACGCAGGAGCTTTACACGCAGCAGCCCTACATTGGAGCTTTTCACATAAGGCTTCTCTCACACAGAGGTTTGGTCCGCTAACTCTACCAGGCAGCAGCCCTCACACTGGAGCTTTCTCACACAGAGGTTTACCTCACACTCCTCAGAGCAACACTAGCTTTGGCCCACTGCCTCTAACAGGCAGCGGCCCTCACACTGGAGCTTTCTCATACAAGGCTTCTCTCACACAAAGGTTTACCTCACACTCCTCAGGACAACAGTAGCTTTGGCACACTGACTGACAGGCTTCGGCCTACTCACTCTCCTCAGGATGGCACTAGCTTTGGCCTACTAATTCTTAACAGGCAGCAGCCTTCATACTGAAGCTGTCTCACACGAGGCATCTCACAGAGGTTTACCTCACACTCCTCAGGACAACAGTAGCTTTGGCCCACTAGCTCCTTGGGACAGCACTAGCTTTGGCCCACTAACTCAAACAGGCAGCAGCCTTCAAACTGAAGCTGTCTCACACAAAGCATCTCTCACACAGAGGTTTACCTCACACTTCTCAGGACAACACTAGCTTTGGTCCAGTGGCTGTCCTCAGGATGACACTAGCTTTGGCCCACTAACTCTAACAGACAACAGCCTTTACACTTGAGCTTTCTCACACGAGGCTTCTCTCACTCCGAGGTTTACCTCACACTCCCCATGTTCTAATAGATAGATAGGTAAATAGGGAGGTAGGTAGACTGCTAGAGCTAGGTTTCCATAACACAAATAAACAAATACATAGTAGCTTTACCTCACACTCCTCAAGACAATACTAGCTTTGGTCCACTGACTCTCTTCAGGATGGCACTAGGTTTGGCTCACTAACTCTTGACAGGCAGCAGCCTTCACACTGAAGCTGTCTCACACAAGGCATCTCTCACACAGAGATTTACCTCACACTCCTCAGGACAACAGTAGCTTTGGCCCACATACTCCTCCGGGCAGCACTAGTTTTGGCTCACTGACTCCTCAGGACAACACTAGCATTGGCCCACTAACTCTTAACAGGCAGCAGCCTTCACACTGAAACAGTCTCACACGAGGCATCTCTCACACAGAGGTTTATCTCACACTTCTCAGGACAACACTAGCTTTTTCCACTGACTCTCCTCAGGATGGTACTAGCTTTGGCTCACTAACTGTAACAGGCAGCAGCCTTTACACTGAAGCTGTCTCACACGAAGCATCTCTCACACAGAGGTTTACCTCACACTTCTCAGTGTTCTAATAGATAGATAGGTAAATAGGGAGGTAGGTAGATTCCTAGAGCTAGGTTTCCATAACACAAATAAACAAATACATAGTAGCTTTACACGCAGCAGCCTCCACACTGGCGCCTTCTCACACAAGGCTTCTCTCACACAGAGGTTTACCTCACACTCCTCAGACAGTAGCTTTGGTCCACTGAGTCTCCTCAGGATGGCACTAGCTTTGGCTCACTAACTCTTAACAGGCAACAGCCTTCACACTGAAGCTGTCTCACATGAGGCATCTCTCACACAGAGGTTTACCTCACACTACTCAAGACAATACTAGCATTGGTCCACTGACTCTTCTCATAATGGCACTAGCTTGGGCTCACTAACTCTAACAGGCAGAAGCCTTCACACTGGCGCTGTCTCACACGAGGCATCTCTCACACAGACGTTTACCTCACACTCCTCAAGACAACATTAGCTTTGGTCCACTGACTCTCCTCAGGGCAGCACTAGCTTTGGCCTACTAACTCTTAACAGACAGCAGGACAAAAGTAGCTTTGGCCCACTAACTTTTAACAGACAGCAGCCTTCACACTGAAGCTGTCTCACACGAGGCATCTCTCATATGGAGGTTTACCTCACACTCCTCAGGGCAACACTAGCTTTGGCCCAAAGACTCCTCAGGACTGACAGCACTAGCTTTGGCCCACTAACTCTTAACAGGCAGCAGCCTTCACACTGAAGCTGTCTCACACAAGGCATCTCTCACACAGAGGTTTACCTCACACTCCTCAAAACAACACTAGCTTTGGCCCACTGACTGACAGGCTTCGGCCTACTCACTCGCCTCAGGATGGCACTAGCTTTGGCCTACTAACTCTTAACATTCAGCAGCCTTCACACTGAAACAGTCTCACACGAGGCATCTCTCACACAGAGGTTTACCTCACACTCCTCAAGACAACACTAGTTTGGTACACTGACTCTCCTCAGGATGGCACTAGCTTTGGCTCACTAACTCTAACAGGCAGCAGCCTTTACACTGGAGCATTCTCACACAAGGCTTCTCTCACACAGAGGTTTACCTCACAGTGTTCTAATAGATAGATAGGTAAGTAGGGAGGGAGGTAGACTCCTAGAGCTAGGTTTCCATAACACAAATAAACAAATACATAGTAGCTTTATACGCAGCAGCCTCCACACTGGAACTTCCTCACACGAGGCTTTTCTCACACAGAGGTTTACCTCACTCCTCAGGACAACAGTAGCTTTGGCCCACTGACTCTTAACAGGCAGCAGTCTTTACACTGGAGCTTTCTCACACGAGGCTTCTCTCACACGGAGGTTTACCTCACACTCCTCAGAATAACACTAGCTTTGGCCCACTGACTCTTAACAGGTAGCAGACTTTACACTGGAGCTTTCTCACATGAGGCTTTTCTCACACGGAGGTTTACCTCACACTCCTCAAAATAACACTAGCTTTGGCCCACTGACTCTTAACAGGTAGCAGACTTTACACTGGAGCTTTCTCACACGAGGCTTCTCTCACACGGAGGTTTACCTCACACTCCTCAGAATAACACTAGCTTTGGCCCACTGACTCAACAGGCAGCAGCCTTTACACTGGAGCTTTCTCACATGAGGCTTCTCTCACACGGAGGTTTACCTCACACTCCTCAGAATAACACTAGCTTTGGCCCACCGACTCTTAACAGGCAGCAGCCTTTACACTGGAGCTTTCTCACACGAGGCTTTTCTCACACAGAGGTTTACCTCACAGTGTTCTAATAGGTAAGTAGGGAGGGAGGTAGATTCCTAGAGCTAGTAACATCCTAAGTGTTCTAATGAAGGGAGGGAGGGAGGGAAAGGAGGTGGTCTTACCAGACGTAGAGGTAGGGCTCCACGCATTGCTCCTTGTAGGCGAACCGGAAGCAGGGCACCCGGATGACGTTGAAGAAGGCCTGGCCCACCACCCGCGACGACGTGTCGTTCACCGACCTCAGGCACGCCTTCAGCCTGCAACGACAACAAGCAGGACAGGTAGGCCGCTTTCCAAATACGTAGTAGACATGTATTTGTGGGGGGACCCTGGGCATCCTGTCCGTAAAAAGAGGGACTACACAACCCATGGGCATCCTGCCAGTTGTCCCCAGCTCACCGGTTGTCGCAGTCGCAGTGGCTGATGGTGTGCCAGCGCAGATTGCGGTAGCCGTATTTGTAGTCGAAGGGGTGGATGACGTGGCGGCAGTTGTCGTGATCCCGGCAACATCGGTCCGTCTCGCGGTGTTCGCCTGTTTGGGGGGAGATCATAATGTCAAGGTCCCCAATACTTTTGGAATATTATCCTTTTTTGGGGGGACTACAATTCCCATAATCCCCCCATACAGGGAGTTGTAGTCCTCCACAGAAGTGGACATTTCCAAGCACTAGGCTAGATGGTTACAGAAATAACCAAGAGTTATAGTTGCAGCCCCAAAAGATATTGATGGCTGGGAGTTGTAGTGCCTCCCCCAACACAAAGAGCGTTAGGATGTGTTGTGTCCAATTCTGGGGGTTGGTGCTTATCTCCATTTCAAAGAGCCGGCGTTGTCCATAGACACCTCCAAGGTCATGACTGCATGTTAGGATAGATGGCCTGATACTGGGAGTCATAGTGCTGCAAGATTGCTTAGGATTATGGGGATTGTAGTATTCTAAGGTGTTATGGGAGGTGTAGCTTTCCTTTAAGAACAATACTTGCCCTAACCGTATTCTACATTGTTTCTCCGCCTTCCCCATTTGTCTCAGTCTTTGAACTACATCTCCCATGCGGCTGTGCACCAGCTGGGGATGATGGGACTTGTTTATAGGCTTCGAGAGGGAAAAGACACTGTCCGAAATACCCCAAAGGCACCGGATCCCAATGTTTTGATGATTGCAAGTAAACAAGAAATCAAAACAAGCAGCAAGTTAAGAAGTTGCAGCCGAACTACATCTCCCATGTGGCTCTGCACCTGTCGGGGACGATGGGACTTGTTTATAGGCTTCGAGAGGGAAAAGACACTGCCCGAAATACCCCAAAGGTGCCAGATCCTAATGTTTTGATGATTGCAAGTAAACAAAAAATCAAAACAAGCAGCAAGTTGGGGTATTTCGGACAGTGCCTTTTCCCTCTCGAAGCCTATAAACAACTCCCATCGTCCCCGACTGGTGCAGAGACGCATGGGAGATGTAGTTCGGCTGCAACTTCTTAACTTGCCGCTTGTTTTGATTTTTTGTTTACTTGCAATCATCAAGACATTGGGATCCGGTGCCTTTGGAGTATTTCGGACAGTGTCGTTTCCTTCTCAAAGCCTATAAACAAGTCCCATCATCCCCGACTGGTGCAGAGACACATGGGAGATGTAGTTCGGCTGCAACTTCTTAACTTGCCTGTTTGTCTCGACAGAACCTACCCGGCAGGGTTGTGGTCAGGAGCCAAGGACTCACCCAGCTCGTCGTAGCTCCCGGCGATGTTCCCGGCTCCGCACCAGAGGGTCCCCGGGTAAGTGAAGCCCCTCTTGGCCCTCTTGGGGGGGGCCCCCAACGCCAGCCCTTCCGGGTGGGCTTCCGGGTGGGCTTCCGGGTGGGCTTCCAGGTGGGCTTCCGGGTGGGCTTCCAGGTGGGCCAGGGTCAGCAGGAGCAGTCCCAAAGGAAGGAGACGCCTGCCCATCGCTCCCTCGGCCGGCCGGCTTTCAGCACTCGGACCCCCGAGACAGCACCCCAGGCTTTAAATGGGTGGCCTGATCCCCGGAGAGGGGAGGGCCAAGGAGACCACTCCCCTTCTTCACTCCCACTCTTCTCTCTCCTTTGAAGCAATTGGGCTCCAAGGGGCACCAAGCACAGGCTGATTGGGGGGCTTAAAATGGGGGGGGGGTGTCCCATGAAAAGGGGGGAGTCCTCTGTCCGGTCTTGCTCTTGGCCCCCTTCTTCTCTCCTCTTTCTTCTTTCTCTCCCTTCTCTTTTCTGCTTTTTCTCCCCATCTTTCTGCCTTGGTTTCCCCTCTCTTTTCATGCCTTATCTTCTCTCTTTCTCTACTCTTTTCTCCCCCTCTTGACCTTGTTTTCCTCCTCCTCTCTTCCCTCTTCCCTCCTTTTCTCCCTCTCTTTTGCCCTCTTTCCTTCCCCTTCCTTCTCTCTTTCTCTACTCTTTTCTCCCCCTCTTGACCCTGTTTCCCCTCTCCTTTCTTCCATCTTCCCTCCTTTACTCCTTCTCTTTTAGCTCTATTTCCTTCCCCTTCTTGCATCCCTCTTTACTCCATTTTCTCCCTCTTTTCTTTCCTCTTCCCTTCTCTCATCCTTCTCATTTGGCCTTTTTCCTTCCCTTCGTTCTCCCCTCTTTCTCTACTCTTTTCTCCCCCTCTTGATCCTGTTTCCCCGCTCCTTTCTTCCCTCCTTTTCTCCCTCTCATTTGCTCTTGTTCTTCCCCTTCTTTCTTCCCTTTTTACCCTGTTTTCTTCCTCCTTTTTTTATTCTTCCCTACCTTTCTCTGCTCTTTTCTCCCCCTCTTGATGCTGTTTTCCTCCTCCTTTCTTCCCCCTTCCCTCCTTTTCTCTTTCTCTTTTTGCTCTTCCCCTTCTTTCTTCCCTCCTTACTCCATTTTCTCCCTCCTTTCTTTCCTCTTCCCTTCCCTTCTCCTTCTCTTTTGCCCTCTTTCATTCCCCTTTCTTCTCTCTTTCTTTCCCTCTTCGCTGAATTTTCTCCCTCCTTTCTTTCCTCTTCCATTCTCTTCTCCTCATTTGCCCTCTTTCCTTCCTTTTCTTTCTTCTTTTTCTCCCCCTCTTGATCCATTTTTCCTCCTCCTTTCTTCCCCCTTCCTCTCCTTTTCTCTTTCTCTTTTTGTTCTGTTTTCTTCCCCTTCTTTCTTCCCTCTTTACTCCATTTTCTCCCTCCTTTCTTTCCTCTTCTTTCTCTTTCTCCCTCTCTTTTGCCCTCTTTCACCCCCCCCCCCCCCCCCCCCCCCCCCCCCCCCCCCCCCCCCCCCCCCCCCCCCCCCCCCCCCCCCCCCCCCCCCCCCCCCCCCCCCACCCCCCCCCCCCCCCCCCCCCCCCCCCCCCCCACCCACCCCCCCCCCCCACCCCCCCCCCCCCCCCCCCCCAACCCCCCCCCCCCCCTTTCCTTCCCCTTCTTCCCTTCTTCCTTCTCTCTTCTCTCTTCTCTTTTCTCCCCCTCTTGACCCTGTTTTCCTCCTCCTTTCTTCCTCTTCCCTTCTTTCTCCTTCTCTTTTCTCTTTTTCCTCCCCTTCTTTCTTTCCTTCCTTACTCCCTTTCCTCCCTCCCTTCTTTCCTCTTCCCTTCTCTTCTTCCTTTCTTTTCTCTCTTCCTTCCCTCTTTCTTCTCTCTTCTCCCCTCTTCTCTCCATTTTCTCCCTCTTTTCTTTCCTCTTCCCTTCTCCTTTTCCTCTTTTCCTTCTCCTCTTTCTTCCCTTTCTTTCTTCCCTCTTTCTCTACTCTTTTCTCCCCCTCTTTGCCCCATTTTCTCCTTCCTTTCTTCCCCCTTCCCTCCTTTTCTCCCTCTCTTTTGCCCTCTTTTCTTCCCCTCCTTCTTCTCCTTTCTTCTCTTTCTCCCCCTCTTTGCCCCATTTTCTCCCTCTTGTTTTTCCCCTTCCCTCCTTCTATCACTCTCTTTCACTCTTCACTCTTTTTCCATCCCTTTCTTTATTCCTTCTTTCTCTCTTTCTCCCCTCTTTACCCAATTTTCTCCCCCCCCTTTCTTTTCTCATCTCTCCTTTTCTTCTCTCTTGTCTTCTTTCTTTCCCTTCTTTATTCCTTCTTTCTCTACTCTTTTCTCTCCTCTTGACCCTGTTTTCCTCCTTTTCTCCCTCTCTTTTGCCCTCTTTCCTTCCCCTCTTTCTTCTCTCTTTTCCCCCCTCTTTTCTTTCCTCTTCCCTTCTCTTCTCCTCATTTGCCCTCTTTCCTTCCCTTTCTCCTTTTTCTCCCCCTTGATCCTGTATTCCTCCTCCTTTCTTCCCTCCTTTTCTCTTTCTCTTTTTCTCTATTTCCTTCCCCTTCTTTCTTCCCTCCTTACTCTATTTCCTCCCTCCTTTCTTTCCTCTTTCCTTCTCTTCTCCTTCTCGTTTGCTCTCTTTCCTTTCCCTTCTTTCTTCCCCCTTTCTCTACTTCTTTCTCGTGTTTTCCTCCTCCTCTTTTCCATCTTCCCTCCTTTTCTCCTTCTCTTTTTGCTCTATTTCCTTCCCTTTTTGCATCCCTCTCTACTCCATTTTCTCCCTCCTTTCTTTCCTCTTCTCTTCTCTTCTCCTTCTCGTTGGCCTTTTTCCTTCCCCTTCTTTCTCCCCTCTTTCTCTACTCTTTTCTCCCCCTCTTTGCCCCATTTTCTCCTTCCTTTCTTCCCCTTTCCCTCCTTTTCTCCCTCTCTTTTGCCTTCTTTCCTTCCCCTTCTTTCTTTTCTCTTTCTCTACTTCTTTCTGGTTTTTTTCTCCTCCTTTCTTTTCCTCTTCCTTTCTCCCTCTCTTCTCTTTTTTTCCTTCTCTTTCTCTTTCTTTCCTCTTCCCTCATTTCTCCTCTCTTCTTTTCCCTCTTTCCTTCCCCTCTTTTTCTCTTTCTCTCTTCTTTCTTTTTCCTCCTCCTTTCTTCCCTCTTTCCCCTTTCTCCCTCCTTCTTTTGCTCTTTTTCCTTCTTCTTTCTTCCCTCTTTTCTTCCCTCTTTCTCTACTTATTTCTCGTGTTTTCCTCCTCCTTTCTTCCCTCTTTTTCTCTTTTTCCTTCTCCTCCTTTCTTCCCTCTTCCCTCCTTCTCTCCCTCTTTTGCCCTCTTTCCCTCCCCTTCTTCCTTCTCTTTTTCTCTCTCTCCATTTCTTCTCTCCCTTTCTTCTTTCCTCCCTTTCTTCCCCTTCTTTTTCTCTCTTTCTCTACTTCTTTCTCATGTTTTCCTCCTTTCTGTCCTCTCCCCTCCTTCTCGCCCTCTCTTTTGCCCTCTTTCCATCCCCTTCTTCTCTTTTTCTCTCCCTCCTTTCTCCTTCCATTTCTTCTCTCCCTTCATTCTCCTTTCCTGCAAAAGGCACACGAACTAAGCCAAGGATTGGTGGATTTTCTTTCCTGATTTGCAGAAAGGGGGGAGAGGGAAGCTCGCTCGGCTAAGCCCCTTTTCTTCCTGACCTAAAGTTACCTCTGGACACCCCCCCCCCCGCTTGCCCACCCACCGGAGGGGGCTCGGGATGCGTGAGGGTGGCCCGAGCCTTGTCTCCATGGCGACCGAGGTGGGGTGATGTGGCTGGACCCATGGGATATGGGATTCCCTTACTCCGCCCTGCCCCCCCCCGGCCGCCTTCAGGCTCTTTGTACGGCCACCGGAGGGTCAGCGCTTGTGACCCCCGGCCGCCCACCCGTGGGATTTTAGAATTGAGATTGTGGGACGATAATACTATACAACACCAATTGGCTCTATCGTAACAACATGGAGAAATGTTATGAAACTTTCCAAACTTTGTTCTGGTGGGGTTCATTTTGTCATTTGGGAGTTGTAGTTGCTGGGATTTATAGTTCTCTTACAATCAAAGAGCGTTCTAAACTCCACCAGCGATGGAATTGAACCAATCTGGGCACACAGAACTCCCACAACCAAGAGAAAACACTGGAAGGGTTTGGTGGGCATTGGCCTTGAGTTTGGGAGTTGTAGTGCACCTCCATCCAGAGAGCACTGTGGACTCAAACAATGACAGATCAGGACCAAATTCTACAAGAATACTCAATACGCCCAAATGTGAACACTGGGGGAGTTTGGGGAAAATAGACCTTGACATTTGGGAGTTGTAGTTGCTGGGATTTATAGTTCACCTACAACCAAGAGCATTCAGAACCCCACCAAGGATAGAATTGGGCCAAACTTCCCACACAGAACTCCCATGAGCAACAGAACAGACTGGAAGGGTTTGATGGGCTTTGACCTTGAGTTTGGGAGTTGTAGTTCACCTTCATCCAGAGAGCAGGAGGAGTGCTTTTGGTGGGAGGATTTGCCATCTATTTCCAAAAAAGTAAAAGAAGGACAGGTGGAGAGATCTTCGGCCTTCTCTGCCAAAGGGCTTCCTATGACCCTCCGAAATATATGTTGCATGGTGGTCTTTGGCGACCCCGTTGGGACCCCTAGATTGAGAAACACTGCTCTGGTTGCTCAATTAATAGGTCAAGGTCAAGGTATTTCCCCTTGACGTGAAGTCCAGTTGTGCCCGACTCTGGGACTCTGGTGCTCATCTCCATTGCTAAGCCGAAGAGCCGGCGTTGTCCATAGACACCTCCAAGGTCATGTGGGCGGCATGACCGCATGGAGTGTTGTTACCCATAGACACCTCCAAGGTCATGTGGCCAGCATGACTGCATGGAGTGCTGTTGCCTTCCCGCCGGAGCGGTATCTATTGATTTACTCCCATTTGCATGTTTTCAAACTACTAGGTTGGCAGGAGCTGGGGCTAACAGTGGGAGCTCACCCCGCTCCCCAAATGTCATCCAGTTCCACCTAGTTTGTGTCAGTCACAAAAGCAAAATTTTGGGAGTAGAGCCACGACTTCCAAAGCGAGTGCCGCACAATTGAAACGGGAACAGAACATATTTTTCCGCCGGCCCCGCAAGTTGTGTTACATTGCCGTTTCCTGCCGTGGGGAAGACCTTGGTTGGCCCTTATCAGCCTCCGTGGGAGGAACAGAAGGATATTTTGGATCCGTTGGCACAAGGCGGCATTGTCTGCCCGAGCTTGCCCACCCTTCCTTGGAGAGTCAGAAGGGGGACCCGGGATTGACGCTCACCTGTCAATCAATGCCTTTGAGCAGCAAGGCAGGGGCGCCCCCAAGTGTTGGTTTCTGCCTTTACCGCCCACCGTTCCGTCCCAATCAGAGGCTGGGATTCATTTGGGATTCAAAGGATAAACTAAACTGGTTTTGGGGTCACTTTGGGCTTTTCAAGTGAGACCCAGTTTTGGGGTCACTTCAGTTTTGGTGTCGCTTTTAGGGGCTTTTGCCATGAGATTTAGTTTTGGGGCCACAGGTTTTGGGGTCACTTTGGGGTCTTTTCACATGACACTATTTTGGGGTCTCTGATTTTTAGGGTCATTTTGGGGACTTTTCCCATGAGATCTCGTTTTGGGGCCACTTTGGTTTTGGAGCCACTTTGGGGTCTTTTCACATAATACACAATTTTGGGCCTTTTTGGTTTTTGGGGTCATTTTGGGGAGTTTTTGAGTGAGACCCAGTTTTGGAATCACTTAGGTTTTGGGGTCTCTTTGAGGGCTTTTCACATGAGATCTAGTTTTGGGGCCACTTTGGTTTTGGGGTCACTTTGGGGTCTTTTCACATGAGACACTATTTTGGGGTCTCTGATTTTTGGGGTCACTTTGGGGACTTTTCCCATGAGATCTCGTTTTGGGGACTCTGATTTTTGGGGTCACTTTGGGGACTTTTCCCATGAGACATTATTTTGGGGACTCTGATTTTTGGAGTCACTTTGGGGACTTTTCCCATGAGATCTAATTTTGGGGCCTCTGATTTTTGGGGTCACTTTGGGGACTTTTCCCTTGAGACATTATTTTGGGGTCTCTGATTTTTGGGGTCACTTTGGGGACTTTGACCATGAGATCTAATTTTGGGGCCTCTTTGATTTTTGGGGTCACTTTAGGGACTTTTCCCATGAGATCTAGTTTTGGGGCCACTTAGGTTTTGGGGTCACTTTGGGGGGTTTTCGTGTGAGACCCAGTTTTGGGTCACTTTGGTTTTGGGGTCATTTTGGGGACTTTTCCCATGAGATCTAATTTTGGGGCCACTTAGGTTTTGGGGTCTCTTTGGTTTTTGGGGTCACTTTGGGGACTTTTCCCATGAGACATTATTTTGGGGTCTCTGGTTTTTGGGGTCACTTTGGGGACTTTTCCCGTGAGATCCAGTTTTGGGATGTCTTTGATTTTTTGGGGTCACTTTGGGGAGTTTTCAAGTGAGACCCAGTTTTGGAATTACTTAGGTTTTGGAGTCACTTTGGGGCTTTTCACATGAGACCCAATTTTGGGGTCTCTTTGGGAGCTTTTCCCATGAGATCTCATTTTGGGGCCACTTTGGTTTTGGGGTCACTTTGGGGACTTTTCACATGAGATATTATTTTGGGGTCACTTTGGTTTTGGGGTCAATTTGGGGACTTTTCCTATGAGACCCAATTTTGGGGCCTCTGTTTTTTGGGGTTACTTTAGGGACTTTCCCCATGAAATTTAGTTTTGGGGCCACTTAGGTTTTGGGGTCACTTTGGGGACTTTTCCCATGAGATCTAGTTTTGGGGCCACTTAGGTTTTGGGGTCACTTTGGGAACTTTTCACATGAGACACAATTTTGGATCTCTATGATTTTTGGGGACACTTTGGGGAGTTTTCGTGTGAGACCCAGTTTTGGAATCACTTGGGTTTTGGGGTCACTTTGGTTTTTGGGTCTCTTTGGGGGCTTTTCAAGTGAGTCCTGGTTTTGGGGTCACTTTGGGGTCTTCTCATATGAGATCTACTTTAGGGGTCACTTTGGGGGCTTTTCAAGAGAGACCCAGTGTTGGGGTCACTGTCGGGTGTTTTGCCAACCCTCAGCTGATCCCATTCCTCCCTCCTGGCCGGGGATGAATTGTGAATGGCTCCCCTTCTTCTCCTCCTTCTCCTCCTCCTTCTCGTCGTTCTTCTCTGGCCGCCGAAGGCCCTTGGCCCTCCTCCAGGCTTCGGAGTGACTGGCTCAGCTGTCTCTCCCTCCGGCCAAGGAAGCCTTCCCTTCCCTTCCTTTTCCTTCCAGTCCACTTACCAGCCCGACGTCCAGAGTCCGCAGCCCCGTCCTTCTTGGGGATCCAGGTATTTTGGGGGGCAGGCCGAGAACGACCGGGTCCAAGACCTCCCCGAAAAGGGAAGCCGTCTGTTTTGGGCATTCGATGACCTTGATCGCTTTTATAATCCAAAGGATTAAAAGAATGGAATTTGTAGTTCAAAGCAAGGGAGCTGTAGCCTTTTGGAGGTTCCCCAAAAAGGAAGTTGTAGTCCAACACGGGACTTGTAGCCCGAAACGGGACTTTAGGGGTCCAAGGAAGCACTGTGTATGTCTGGAACTTTGGGGGAGTTCTAGTCCACAAAAGGATTTTAATCCAGAAACAAAATGGGATTTGGGGAGTTGTAGTACACAAAGGGACTTTGGGAGTTGTAGTCCACATTCTAAGAAGTGTGTTTACCTTTCTTAATGTGTCATGCTGTGCTTGTGCTGATTTCCCACTTTCGGCCCCCTGATGTCCTAGCGCTCTGTACTTGGCTCTCTGCCGCCATGCTGCGGGATTTGAAGTGCACCCCGGACTCCAGGGAACCGGGTTGGTACCTGTCGCTGATGGCCCCCAATGTCAAGGGCCCCAAATACGCCTGGCTGGACCCCTCCCGCCTCTACTGCCACCACCAGGTAAACTACGCATCCCAGCACCTTATAGCTTTGTGTAATAATAATAATAATAATAATAATGTATTTATACCCCACCACCATCTACTCGATGAGGACTCGGAGCGGCTTACATGAGGCCACGTCCAACAACACATCAATAAAAACAACAACAATAAGCAAAATAAACAATACAATTAGTATAACTCACACGTAGACAATAACACGTAAGGATTTTAAAACCTATGGGATTGTTTCCTTTATTCAGTTTTTAGGCTCCTCCTAAAAACTGCCAATGTGGGGGCTTGTCTGATATCCTTGGGGGGTGAATTCCAGAGTTGAGGGGCCACCACCGAGAAGGCCCTGTCCCTCGTCCCCACCAATCGCGCCTGCAAGGGAGGCAGGAGCATGAGCAGGGCCTCTCCCAATGATCGAAGAGATCATGTAGGTTCGTATACAGAAATGCGGTCACGCAGATAGGCGGGTCCCAAACCGTTCAGGGCTTTGTAGGTCAGAACCTACACCTTGAATTGGGACCGGAAGATGAATGGCAGCCAGTGGTGCTCCTTAAACAGGAGGGTTGACCGCTCCCTGTAAGTCGCCCCAGTTAGTAACTTGGCTGCTGCCCATTTGTTGTTGTTCATTCGTTCAGTCGTCTCCGACTCTTCATGACCTCATGGACCAGCCTACGCCAGAGCTCCCTGTCGGCTGTTACCACCCCCAGCTCCCTCAAGGTCAGTCCAGTCACTTCAAGGATGCCATCCATCCATCTTGCCCTTGGTCGGCCCCTCTTCCTTTTGCCTTCCACTTTCCCCAGCATAATTGTCTTCTCTAGGCTTTCCTGTCTCCTCATGATGTGGCCAAAGGACTTCAACTTTGTCTCTAGTATCTTTCCCTCCAGTGAGCAGTCGGGCTTTATTTCCTGGAGGATGGACTGGTTGGATCTTCTCGCAGTCCAAGGCACTCTCAGCACTTTCCTCCAACACCACAGCTCAAAAGCATCGATCTTCCTTCGCTCAGCCTTCCCTAAGGTCCAGCTCTCACATCCGTAGGTTACTACAGGGAATACCATGGCTTTGACTAGGCGGATCTTTGTTTGTTTGTTTGTTTGTTTGTTTGCTGCCCATTGGACCAGTTGAAATTTCTGAGCCGTCTTCAAGAGCAGCCCCATGTAGAGTGCATTACAGTAGTCCAATCTGGAGGTGACTAAGGTGTGGACCACCCCGGTCAGATCAGCCTTCGCGAGGTACGGTCGCAGCTGGCGCACAAGTCTTAATTGTGCCAAGGCCCTCCCGGCTACTGCTGACGCCTGAGCTTCAAGCGTTAGTGATGAGTCCAGAAGGACTCCCAAACTGCGGACCTGTGGCTTCAGGGGGAGTGCAAACCCGCCCAGCACAGGTTGCCACCCTATACCCTGATCCAGCTTACAATTGACCAGGAGGACCTCTGTCTTGTCGGGATTGATCTTCAGCTTGTTCCTCCTCATCCAGATAGACACAGCGGTCAGGCACTCGTCCAGTATCCTCAGAGCTTCCTTGGAGTTGGGTGGAAAGGAGTAGTAGAGTTGGGCGTCATCTGCGTAGAGATGGCACCCAACTCCAGAACTCCGGATGACCTCTCCCAGTGGTTTCATGTAGATGTTGAAAAGCATGGGAGACAGAATAGAGCCTTGCGGGACCCCACAGGTCAAAGGCCAGGGGTCCGAGCAGGCGTCTCCCAGCGTCACCATCTGGGATCGATCCTCCAGGAACGACCAGAGCCATGACAGAGCCGTGCCTCCAAGGCCCATCCTGGAGAGACGTCCCAGAAGGATACCATGATTGATGGTATCGAAAGCCGCTGAGATGTCCAAGAGAACCAACAGGGTCACACTCCCCTGTCAAGCTCCCTGCGGAGATCATCCACCAAGGCGACCAAAGCCGTCTCGGTACTGTGACCAGGCCTAAAGCCCGACTGTGACTGGTCCAGGTAGTCGATGTCATCCAGGAATCCCTGGAGCTGAGAGGCGACCACCCGCTCCAGCACCTTGCCCAAGAACGGGAGGTTGGAGATTGGTCTGTAGTTACGACCGTGGAGTCAAGGGAGGCCTTTTTCAGGAGTGGTCTCACCAGATGAAAATGTCCCCTGCTCCAATGATGCATTAATGATTAACACAAACCAATCAATCAACCCACCTCTAGCTGATTTAATTAGCCAAGAAGGGCAAGAGTCCAGAGCCGACATGGTCGCCCTCATAGCCCCAGGGACCTCCTCCACGTCATCAGGGTGAACAAGCTGGAAAGAATCCCACAAAACTGGACAAGCAGATGCCTCGGTCACCTCCTCTGGCACTGTACTTAAACTAGTGTGTAGCTCAAGGCGTATCTGAGCGACTTTATCCGCAAAATGGTGTGCGAAATCGCAGTACCGAGTTGTCGGGTCGTCAAAGGCCTCCTCCATTCTGGGGGGATGAAGGAGCTCCCCAATGACTCAAAACAGCTCCAAGGATCTTTTGGGTGCGGACGCTATGCGGGCGGTCAAGAAGGTCTCCTTGGCTGCCCGTATAGCTGCGGTGTAGGCCCTAAGTGAGGCTCTAGCCCACGTTCGGTCGGAGGCACCCCGAGATTTCCTCCAGATGCACTCTAGACCCCTTCTCGTGCACTTCATCACAGCCAACTCCTCAGTGAACCAAGGAGATGGCGTGTCTCTGCGCAGAGTGATTGTGTCTATCACCCTGGACATCTCACTATTATAGCAATCAATCAGGGTGTCGACAGGATCGCCAGCCTCCATGACAGGAAGAGCCCCAAGATGCCTCAGGAATCCATCCAGACCCATCAGTCTCCTGGGGATGTCACATTCCTCCTCCCGGGAGGCGGGAGACTTTGGGAAACTACAACTCCCAGGACTCTCTTGCATTGGGTCATGGGTGCCAAAACTGTGTTTGTTCTCCATAGTTTAGGTCAGGCACACTCACTTTGATGGCAGAGAAGCATGGAGGTCTTGGGAAACGACAACTCCCAGGGCTCAGCTGATTTGTCTTTTTCTCCCTTGTTCGCCAGGCTTTCCACGATTGCGTGGAGGACCTCATCCAGCCATTTCGGGGCGAGACCATTGACTTGGTGGCTGGAATTGACGCCATGGGCTTCATCCTCGGTCAGGGGCAACTCCATCCAGCACTCGCCTGGGGGGAGCGGGGAAACCGCTCTGGGTTGGAGTCCGAGCTCTCCAGGGGAGCCTGACCCTCTCCACCTGACCCTCTTCGCAGGGGCCGCCATTGCCAGCACGCTGCAGAAGGGCTTCCTGGCCATCCGCAAGGTTGGGCATCTCTGCGTGGAGACCCTGCAACAGCCCTATCGGGACTATTCTGGGAGGGACAAGCTCATGGAGGTGCGGACAGATGCCATCGGGCCAGGTCAGGGAGCAGCCTGCCTTCTCTCCCTCCTCTCCCTTCCTTCGTTCCTTCTTTCCCTCCTCCCCTTCCTTCTTCCTCTCCCTCCCTCCCTCCCTCCCTCCCTCCTTCCTTCCTTCCTTCCTTCCTTCAGAAAGGTGTTTGTAGACCCACTGATCTGCCCTTTGGTCACCGGGCTGCGGTCACACTCTCAGGTCTCAAAAAGCCCCAGCATTAGGATAGAAAGTCCACCCGCCCTGGCCTCTCCTCATTAGATCGTTGTCTTGAGCCTCCCTCCCTAGTTCCTATCCCTGCCTCTGCAAATGCCCAGTCCTGTCCACACACACTCTCATTGTGTAGCCCCTCTCCATTTCAGATGCCTCCTTCTTATTTCCTTTGGAGATCTCCTCCTCTTCCAGCAAAACAAACTTGTTAGGTGGCTCTCCGGTCTTGAAGAGCTGATTTCAGACCTTAGTTCCAATCACTCTATCCACCAGGAGGGAGGGGCTTCAAATGGCTCGGGTGCCATCGAGGTGGTATGGGGGAGGAGGAGGATCGGTCACCCCACACCCAGGGAGAAGCACAATAGAGTCCTTGCAACCCTGGAGAAGGTTAGGTGTGGTAGTCTCCATCACAGACCCCCCGGACTTAAGATCCTGCTCCTGAAAACCAGATCCGTCAATGGCATGACATCTGTAATTCGGGACTTGATCCTGGATGAGGTGGTGGATCTGGCATGCATCACCAAGACCTGTTTGGATGAGTTGGGAGAGGTCAAACTTACCCAGCTGTGTCCACCGGGCTTTGGGGTGCATCAGCAGGCTAGGTCCAGGTGGCAAGGAGGATGCGTTGCGGTGATCTTTTGGCAATCAATCACCCTGATCAGATGCACTGTTCCACAATCTCTGAGGTTCGAGTGTGTCTACCTGAAGGTGGGAGCCCGAGACAGCCTGGGGATCCTGCTGGTGTACCGTCCACCCCGCGACGCAGCAGTTTCCCTGTCTGAGCTAGTGGAAGTGGTCTCTAATTTGGCCTTGGCCTCCCAACAACGTCTGGTTTTGGGAGACTTCAACATCTCCTTTCTCCCTCTCTTTACATCCTTCCTCCCGTCTTTCCTCCTTCCATTCTTACTTCTTTCCTTCTCTATCCCTCCTTTCATTCTCTCTCCCACTGACCCTTCTCTTTCTTCCTCTCTTCCTTCCTTTCCTCTCTTGTTCTTCCCCCTTCCTTCTCTGTTTCTCTTCCCTTTGTTCTTCTCTTTCTCCCTCCTCTCCTTTCATTCTCCCTCCCTACCTTCATTGCTTCCCCCCCCCCCGCATCTTTCTTTCCTTCTCTCCTTTTTCCTTCCCTTTCCTCCCTCTTTTCCTTCTTTGCCCCCATGTTTGAAAACTACCACGCCATTGACTCAGTTTCCCTTCTGGAGCCCTCAAGCAACGGGATCTGACTCCTTGCCCATTCCCTCCCAATGGCAGGCCTCCGGGTCTTACTGGTGGACCAGTGGGTTGAGACGGGCGGCACCATGCAGGCCGCTGCCCAACTGGTGGAGCGGCAGGGAGGCCAAGTGGCAGGTAGGGGAACCTGGGGATCGCCGTGGGACAGCCTCAGGGTTCGGGGCTGCAAAAGGACCCTATATATATGTTGCCCTTCCCACTAGGCATCGCTGCCATCTGCATCGAAGACAGCGAGGGAGGCCGGCGGCTGAAACAGCAATACAGATGGAACCACTGCGTCCCGACGGAGATGATGCCCCAGTTCAACGCCCACCGATTAGACGTCAACAAAGCCCAGCAAGGCTCAGAGTGATCCAAACGCAGTAGAGCATTGTAATAGTAATATGGGTCTCGAGACTGGGGCCCTTTGTGTGCCTTTATGTACTGCAACACCCATCATCCATGCCTCTCTCTGCCAAAACAACAACAACGCCAATAAAAATCTAATTTTATTTTCCGTAAATAATATTCGGAGATGGGCAACCAAGGTGGGACAACATGGGTATTATTATTATGTAATATAAAACATGATATAATATAATTATATTGTATAATACATAATATAATTATATTATATATTATGCAATATATAATAATAATAATAATAATAATAATAATAATAATAATAATATAACATTGATATAAAAAAGAAGGCATGGGTGGACATATCAAGTATGGCTTGGCATTTCTGCAAAGCTATATTATATAATACACAATATAATAATATATATTATATAATATTATTATTACATTGATATAAAAAAGAAGGCATGGGTGGACCTAGAGGATGGCTTGGCATTTCTGCAAATCTATATTTATATAATAATTAATATAATTATATCGTATTGTATAATGTTATATAATAATATATTATTATTATTATTATTATTGCATTGATATTAAAAAGAAGGCATGGGTGGACATAGAGTATGGCTTGGCATTTCTACAAAGCTATATTATAGAATACATAATATAATTATATCATATATAATGTTAAATATAATAATAATMATAATTTATTATTATTATTATTATTATTATTATTATTATTATTATTGCATTGATATAAAAAAG